TCCTTGTTTTTGGTGTCCTTAGCAGTTTTGAAGAGTACTAGACAGGTATATTGTAGGATGCTCCTCTAATTAGAATTTGATGTTTATCTCATCATTAGACTGAGGTTATGGGTTTTGGGAAGATCAAAGGTAAAATGCCATTTTCATCATATATCAAGAGTACATATTATCAACATGATTTATGACTGTTGATGTTGGCTTGATCCTTTGACTGAAGTAATGTTTGTCAGGTTTCTTCACCATAAAGTTAGCCCCCCACCCAATTCCATACTCTACTCTTTGGAAATAAATCACAGTGCAGAGCCCTCATTTAAGGAGTGGGAAATTAGGCCCTGCCTGCTTTAGAGTGGAGTATCAACATAATTTATTTGGAATTCTGCATGGAAGATCTGTTTCTTCTCCATTTACTAATTTACTTATATCAGTGTGGACCATGTATGTTTATTTTATGCTTTGGGTTATAATCCAGTACTACTTTAATTTGTTGCTCAAATTGTTCCAGCTTTGGCTATTGAAAACTCTTTCAGTTGGTTCCAGTGCCTCTTTGACATACCTCTGTTAGTTTCTTTTTTTTTTTTTGACACTTCCTTACTTTCTTGCACTGTAAGATGCTCCATGTTCATCTCGTGCATTTTCTGCCCTTGTCTTAGAATCAGCCATTTCTTCAAGAAGCCCTGGTCCATCTTAATGGAGAATAGTATTAGAAGCCAAGATATGGATACTCGTTGTGCTTATTGCTACTTTGCTGGTGGAGCAAAGAAATAGTACATGTGTCTACTAACTGATGTATATACATATACCTGAAAATATTTCTGTATATAATCATCTGTATCTATGTTAAGTTAAATGTGAGTTCTTACTGATGTCTTCAACTATAATCCATTACCACAGGGATCATTTTTAGTGTGTTCTCTTGCTTTTCTGTAACCTTCCACTTCAGTAGCAAGAAACCTGGCTCCCACCACCTACCACCCATCTATTTAAATTGTTCAATTCCAATATACACATATAACAGTATCAGAACTAACAACTCATACCCTGCTGGGAAGCAACTTTATCAACTAGAAGACAGTGCTTATATGAATTGAGTTTTTAATGCTATACTATCCTAGCATTTTTGGGGATAAATCTTACTTGACCGTAGTGTATTTTTGTTTTTGTTCTTTGTTTAGTGTCTTGCTGGCTGCAGCTGGCTAATTTTTTTTAAAGGCTATTTCTATGTTCATAAGAAAGATTGACTTATAGTTTTCCTGTCTTGTAATTTTCCTGTTTTGCCCTGTCTTTGCCCAGTTTTGATGTCTAGACTATACTAACCTAAATATATTTGTCTCTCAGCCTTCTTTTTTTCCTATATGTTGTCTGGAATAGATTATGGTTTATCTGTTCTTTGAAGGTATGATAGGATTCACCTGTAAAACTGTCTGGGTTTAGTAGTTTCTTTATGAGTAGATTAATTACTGTATCAAATAATTTAATCCTCCTAGATGTGTACATATTTTCTGTTTCTTCTTAAGTCAGTTTTGGCAAGTTACATATTTCTAAAAAACTATCCATTTCATTGAACTTTCAAATATATTTTGTTAATAACTTAATCTCTGCTATATGTGAAGCTGTCACTCCTTTTTTATTCCTAATGTTTGTGCCTTCTTTCTTTTTCTTTATTAGTTTTGCCAGGCATATGCCTATTTGATTTGTCTTTTCAAAGAGGAAGTGTTTATTTTTATTCATCTTTATAGTGTTAGTTTCTTTTTATTAATTTCTCTTTTTTATGTGTTTCTTTCTTTCAGTTTACTTTGTTCTTTTTCTTGAGTTGGATGTTGACCTCAATATTTTGTATTCTTTTCCTATAAATTTATTTAATGCTATAACTTTTCCTCTAAAAGTACTATTTTGATTGTACCCCACAAATATTTTGTTTTGTGGTGTATTCATTGTTATTTAGTTCTATGTATTTCCCAGTTTCCATTAATGTTTGTTCTTTGACCTATGTTTGTAGATTTCCAAAGGAATTGGGAAATTTGAAAATGCACTGTTAATTTCAAATTTTATTGATAAAAGCACTTTATGAAATTTGTTGAAACTAACTCTATTATGATATATTGTCAGTTTTTATAAATATGCTTGAAAGTAATATAAGTTCTTTTACTGTAGGTAATATATCAATAAAAATCATCAGATCAAACCTGTCAATTTTGTGTTGAGAGCTGTATCTTTAAATCTCTTTAACTGCTTTATTAGCAGAGAAGGGTGTGTTAAAACCTCTATTGTGACTGCTTACCTGTATCAGACAAGGTCCAATCAGGAGACAAAAACCGCATGGTAATTTGAAAAGAGAAAGCTTAGTATAAAGAATTATTAACAGAGGTTGGAATAACTGGGAATTGGTTAGTAAAGAGTTAAAGATAACCCTAAGGAATGTAGGAATAGCAGATATAAGGATCAACCACCACCTTTAGGGCTGAGATAGCTCATCTGAAGAAGAGCTGTCTCCCCCTCATTGGAAAGAGTGTGGCCAGGGCTAATTGGATGGTGGAGAAGTTGCTAAGTGCCTTTCTAGTGACCTTCCTTTGTGTGCATGGGGAAGCTCCTGGATGTTGCTGGCTGTCAGGTGCTGTGGGATCCAAGAGTTGGAGAAGCTGCCCTCTCCATGAGCCTAGCAGGAGAAAGCTGTGTCCTGCAGGAGCCCATTGTAATAGCAACCTTACGTATAGGAGGCAAGCATGCAGAAAAATTGTGTCCTTGCAGGAACCTAGTGCTGGAGAAACTGTCTGTTGCTGGAACTGAATGCTGGAGAAAGCTTGCCCCGCAGGAGCCTGGCTAGCCAGGCACACTGAAACTAGGAGGAGAAACTGGCTTCCTTTCCAGGCTCCCTCCAGCACTCTCTAGTAGTGACAAGGCTGTACGTAGCACCAGCTAGCAAAAGAGAAATCTTTGCAAGGCCTACCTCCATCATCACACAGGGTAGATATGGAATAAAGAGACATCATAATTGCCACAGTTCCTTTAACTTTATGTATAGTACATAGTGAGAAACCACATATATTCTTTTGACAACTTCTTTATGTTACTATGTATATATATTATTCTCAGAAACAATTTTGAAGATCTTATAATGCTACATCTGGTGTGACTAAGAAATGGTCACTTTCTTTTAAATTTATAAGTAATTTATATATATATATATATATATATATATTTGGTGATAGGGGCCTAGAAATTAAGGTTTGGAGACAAAGATCCCGTGAACAGTTGGAGAAAATTTAAGACAGATGAGGAACAAAAGATCCAGGATTGTTAGATCTTTTGTATTTCCCAGTTTTAATTTACCAAGACAAGTAGAATCCTTTTTTAGTAATAAAAACTAAAACTGTGTGAAATGGTATGCAATGAAAGCTTTGATCTGTTTGATCAGTTTAACCAAATCATCTTTTTAACCAAATCTTTAGATTAATTGATCTCCATTTTGTAAAAAACCCATTGACTGATGCCCCCCTCTCCATGTGACACTTTACAGCTAGGAGTTGATTACCGTCAGGAAGCTTATGAGTTTCTGCTCCATCAGTTGAGTTTTGCTTTACCAAGAGTCAGTTGTGTTATTTGCCAAATGTGATTATGCCATTTGTGCCTTTTGTAATTATTGCACAAGCTATATTATAACAGTTGATTAATCAGCTCAGCTATTTGGAAAAAATGGGGAATGTGGGGAATGAAGAAAAAAAGATATACATATACCTTAATTTTATTTAAAGGAATTATATAAATTGTATTTGTTGTGGTAGAACCACGACCTTTTCTTTGAGTATACATCCAATGGTTAGAGTTCTGACTTCTTTCTTGCACACCCATAAGACGTTGCTTATGATTTCCAGCACTTTCTTCATTAGAGTAAGAAATTCGATACTTCTGAGTCAGTCAGAGTACAGACTAGATTTTCTTTTCTAGTATTTTGGATTATCTCACCCTTACTTGATTTGGCAGCAACTGTAAGTGTCTTGCTACTCGCCTTTTAGTCTTTCCAGAACGCTCAGCCTAGTTTTCACTGGAAAATAACTCCCTTTGGTAATGTAATCTTTCATCATACTACTACTTAGAAAAATAAGGAAATAAACATAATTGGGTTTGATAATAAATGCACCTGGTTGTTGGTAAGTGAATATCTCAGTTGGTGGGAGCAGAAGTGTGCAGGCACAGGTAGCCTTAATGACCCCAGGGAGCCACAGTGGCCATAGTTCTTTGACCATAGGCAACATTCATGTATTTTATGGGCAGAATGGAGAATGTCAGATAAGTCAGATTTTTTTTTTTTTTTTACTGCTTTGGATTCTTACATTGCTACTAGTCTTGCTGCTACAAACAGTGCTACACTGAATATTCTGGTATACACATTTTTGTAATCATGTGCTTGTATATCTGTAGAGCAAATTACTAGATATGAAATTGTTGGGTCAAAGAGTGTTTGCATTTAGAAACTTGATAGCTATTGCCGTATTGCCTCCATAGAGCTTGTACCAGTATACACTTGATGTATTAGAGTATATACATAACTCTTTTCCCACACCTTTACCAACCTAGTATAGTATCGAACTCTTTGCTCTTTGCCCATCTTACTCCTTTATTGGTGAAAACACATGTGTCTAGAGTCCCCAAGATCCCCACCAGATTTGATGATTTGCTAAGAGGACTCAGAACTCACCATATAGTTGCACTTTTATGATAGTTGGCTTATTTAAGTATGCAAGTTAATTTATATTTTGTTCTACTTTATAAAATTAACATCATTTACTTTGTGGCATGGGTTAACCATACCCGCAAGTTTAAGATTTTTGTTTTCTAGTTTTAGCTTTTGGAAAATGTTAGATATTTAAAAAACAAATCACAATAGAGTGAACATTGTCAGTGTGTCCAAATTTGAAAGTTGTCTTTTAACTTAAAGCTAAGTTTAGTCTCTGAATTGTGAGGTTGATTTTAACAGTGGAGAATATTTATATTTAATACTTTAGATGGCGACTATCAAAAAGAAATAGGATCATGGCAGCAGATGATGACAATGGTGATGGAACAAGTTTATTTGATGTCTTTTCTGGTAAGAGCTCATTTTAATTGTCTTTCTAAGTTTACTTATTTATTACTTTTTTCTTTAAACACACACACACACACACACACACACAATTTTTTCCTGACCCATTTGATACTAAGTTGTATACATTATGGTCCTTTACCTCCAAATACTTCAGTGGGTATGTCACAAGAAGAAGTTGATTTTCTTACATAAGAACAGCATAATTATCAATTTCAGTAAATTTAACACGAATACTGTAATTTTATTTAATCTACCATCTTTATACCAGTTTTACCAGTTAACCCAATGATGTCCTTCATTATTGTGATTGGATTTAGAGCTATCATTTTATTTTATTTTTACAAATTAATTATTTTTGGGTTGCATTCAGTCTTCGTTGCTGCACGTGGGCTTTCTCTAGTTGAGGCGAGGGGGGGCTACTCTTCGTTGCAGTGCTCAGGCTTCCCATTGCGGTGGCTTCTCTTGTTGCAGAGCGTGGGCTCTGGGCGTGTGGACTTCAGTAATTGTGGTATGCGGGCTCAGTAGTTGTGGCTCATAGGCTCTAGAGCGCAGGCTCAGTAGTTGTGGCTCATGGGCTTAGTTGCTCTGCGACGTGTGGGATCTTCCCAGACCAGGGCTTGAACCCATGTCCCCTGCATGAGCAGGTGGATTCTTAACTACTGCGCCACCAGGCAAGTCCCTCTATCATTTTAAAATTTTAGTTTGTCTCATCAGTTTTTGTTCTCTCTGATTTTCTTGCCTTCTTTCAAGTATTATTTGAATATATTTTAGAATTCCATTCTCATTTATATATTAGCTTTTTGGCTACACCTCTGCATTATTTTTTACAATTGGTTTCTGAAGGGATTGCAATATACATCTTTAACATTTTGCAGTCTACTTATTTAAATGTAAGAATCTTTTTATGTAAGTTGTATAATCTTGTACATATTGTTGTGTTTAACCTCCATCCATCCCTTTATGTTAAAGATGTCGTGAACCCCTTGATACAGTGCTGTAATTTTTATTTTAAACTGTTATATGTATCTTAAAGAAATTAAGAGGAGTTAAAAGCAATTAAGATGAAATATTAGTCTTTTTTATTTACTCAGTTATTTACCATTTTTGTCCTTCTAGGATCTAGTATCATTTTCTTCCCCATTGTCTCTTTTCTTCTGGGACTCCGGATATATAGCATGTGAGAACTTTTGATATACTATAAGTTAGTAAGATTGTTCTCTCTCTCTTTTTTTAGTCTTTTTCTCTCTGTTTTTCCATTTGAATAATTTATTGATCTATCTTCAAGCTTACTGGCTCTTCTGTTGAACTTTTTACATTAGATATTGTACTTTCAGTTTTAGAATTTTCATTTGGTTCTTGTAGTTGTTTTTATTTCTCTACCAAGATTTCCAATGAGTAATTTTGCATTGCATTCTGGACATTGTAAATGTTATAGAGACATTGGATTCTGTTATATTCCTCTGAAAAGTGCTGGTGTTTTTAATTTTAGCAGGTATTTATCTTGACTGAACTTAATCTTCTGTCTTCCCTGTGGTGAACAGGAGCTGAAATCTCTGTTCAGCTTTCTTTAGCTTTAGTTGGACTTTTGGGAGTTCTAACCTTTACATGTGTAATTTGGGGGTCATTCAGATTTGGGTACAATTTGAGGAGTCCTCTCTGTGGCACTCTGGATTTCCTCTTTCTAGTTGCTGTTATCACCCCCAAAGTTTTTTCTCTGTTTCTTTAAGCTATCAGGACTAGAAGTTTCCATCTGAGTTTTCACTGCCAAGTGTGGCTCCAGCTAGAGCGTATCGTTCCACAAATCTTGTAATAAAAGGGGGATAGGGAATTCATACAGTGCTGTTTTCTTCTTTCAGGTGTCATCTCCTCTCCAGTTTTTGCCTGCTTTAGATTGCTCTTTAGTTCTTCACATTACTTTTTTTTTCTTTTTTCTTTTTTTAATTTAGGTACAATTTATATATAACATTATAGTAGTTTCAGATGTACAATGTAATAATTCCATGTTTGTATATATTGTGAAATCACCACAATAAGTCTAGTGGTAGAGCTTTGACTGCAGATAGCTTTTAATATTTTGTTTAGAGTTTATAGTTTTTGCAGGAAGATTGTCCTGATAGAAACTATTCTGCTATTATTGGAGTTGTAACCTTCTTACTAGCGTGGGGTTTTTTTCTTCTTTATTTTATATTTGAATTTTATTTTATTTTTTTATACAGCAGGTTCTTATTAGTTATCAATTTTATACATACTGGTGTATATATGTTAATCCCAATCTCCCAGTTCATCCCACCACCACCACCCCCACACCCTCCCCTACTAGCTTGTTTTTGAAAGTGAGTTTTTAAGTCTAAACCTGTGTACTAAGATGTGTGTGTTTATAACGATGTACAAAAGCTTCTAAACAATTTTCTTTTTTGACACTGGACTAATAAGTCTTTCTTTTTCTGGTTCTTCAGAGTCAGAATAGAAAAACTCCACTAAGTGCATAGAGTCAGTTTTAACTAGTCTTTGATTTTTTTTGCAGCTTCTCCTCTTAAAAATAATGATGAAGGTTCTTTGGACATATATGCTGGGTTGGACAGTGCTGTTTCTGGTATGTAAATTCTATAATAAAATACTTTCGTTTTGTTTGGTCAGTCTGTCGGAAGTGTTTATTTTGTTGTTAACAATTTCTGGAGTAACTCATAGCTCCTCAACAATCTGCCTTTTCTTTGAAATCATTATACTCAGGTAATTATTTTTTTGCCCAAAGCTTGATCAATAAAATAAACTAGCCTTTAGGTTTGTTTTTCATCTAGGTCTCAGATTTTTTTTTTTTTTTTTTGCGGTACGCGGTCCTCTCACTGTTGTAGCCTCTCCCGTTGCGGAGCACAGGCTCCGGACGCACAGGCTCAGCGGCCATGGCTCACGGGCCCAGCCCGCTCCGCAGCATGTGGGATCCTCCCGGACCGGGGCACGAACCCATGTCCCCTGCAAGGGCAGGCGGACTCTCAACCACTGTGCCACCAGGGAAGCTGCTAGGTCTCAGATTTAATTGGACCTTGTACAAAAATATTTTGTACCACTGAAAATGAAACTGATGGTGATTTCTACCTATATTACCACACATACTCACAGGCTACATGATATTAGAATTTTTGAAAAGGGTAGTTACTATAAATATTTTCAAATGTATCAGTAGGAGTGTGATATGCTGAGAGTCTAATGACCTGTCTAAATGAGAAAACCTTTCTGTAATCAAATCTTCTAAAGCTTCGAACAAATGTGATCCTTACACCTGATTTGTTGACAAATTTGTTTTAGGTAAATTGGTTTTCCAATTCTAATCTGTGAAATCAGTATAGATTTGGATGAAATGCAAGAGATGGAGAATTGTAGAGCCCTCTGGGTAGAGGTAGACAGTACGTCAAAAAGCCTAACACATGTATTTCTTTTTACCCCAGCTTTACTGAACTATAATTGACATATAACATTAAGTAAGTTTAAATGTACAGTATATTGATTTTATACACTTAAATATTGTAAAATGATTACCACCATAGCATTAGCTAATACCTGCATAGCGTCACATGATTACCATCTATTTAAGATCTAGTCTCTTAGCAACTTTTGATCATATAATATAGTCTTATTAACTGTAATCACTATGCTGGATATTAGATCCCCAGAATTTATTTGTCTTATAGCTGGAAGTTTGTACTCTTTGATCAACATCTCCTCTTTTCCCCCACCCCCAGCCCTTGATAACTATCGTTTTAGTGTCTGTTTCTATGCATTTGGATTTTTTAGATTCCACATGTGATATTGTGTAGTATTTGTCTTTCTCTCTCTGACTTATTTCACTTAGCATAATGCCCTCAAGGTTCATCCTTGCTGTTGCAAATAGCAGGGTGTCCTTTTTCATGGCTGAATAATATTCCATTATATATTTATATATGCACATATATTTACACACACGCACATGTATACATACATATATGCACCCACATATACCACATCTTTATTCCTTTTTCTGTTGGTGGACGCCTAGGTTGTTTCCATATCTTAGCTATTGTGAATAATACTGCAGTGAACAGAGGAGTGCAGATATCTGAGATTTAGTTTTTATTTCCTTTGAATATATACCCAGAACTGGGGTTGCTGGATCATATAATACTTATATTTTTAATTTTTTGAGGAACTTCTATACTGTTTTTGATGGTAGCTATACCAATTTAGATTCCCACCAACAGTGTACAAGCGTTCCCTTTTTTCCACATCTTTGCTAATACTTACCTGGTTTTTTTTGTTTTTTTTTTTTTTTTGCGGTACGTGGGCCTCTCACTGTTGTGGCCTCTCCCATTGCGGAGCACAGGCTCCGGACGCACAGGCTCAGCAGCCATGGCTCACTTCCCGGATTGGGGCACGAACCCGTGTCCCCCGCATCAGCAGGCGGACTCTCAACCACTGCGCCACCAGGGAAGCCCCCTGTTGTATTTTTGATGATAGCCATTCTGATAAGTGTGAGATGATACCTCATTGTGGTTTTGATTTGCATTTCTCTGATGATTTGTGATGTTAAGTACCTTTTCCTGTTCCTGTTGGCCATTTATGTCTGCTTTGGAAAAATGTCTGTTCAGTTCCTCTGCCCATTTTTTAGTTTTTTTCTGTTGAGTTGTGTGAATTCTTTATATATTTTTGGATATTAACTTCTAATCAGACATATATGTATATAAAAATGGCAAGCATTTTCTCCCGTTCTGTAAGTTGTCTTTTTATTTTGTTAATGATTTCCTTTGCTGTGCAGAAAGAAGCCTTTTAATTTGATGTAGTCCCACTTTTTTATTTTTTGCTTTTGCCTTTGCTCTTGGTGTCAAATTCAGAAAATTATTGCCAAGACCGATGTCCAGAAGCTTACCCCCTAAATATTTTTTTTTTCTAGGCATTTTATGGTTTCAGGTTTTTTAAAAAAAATTTTATTGAAATATAGTTGATTTATAATGTTGTGTTAGTTTCAAGTGTACAGTAAAGTGGTTCATCTATACATGTATATATATTCTTTTTTTATATTATTTATTTATGTTGGTCACGCCACGCTGCTTGTGGGATCTTAGTTCCATGACCAGGGATTCAACCCATGTCTCCTGCAGTGGAAGTGCGAAGTTCTAACCACTGGACCGCCAGGGCATTTCCAACATTCTTTACCATTATAGGTTATTACAAGATATTAAGTATGGTTGCAGGTTTTAAATTCACATCTTTAATTCATTTTGAGTTGATTCTTGTGTGTGCTGTAAGATAAGGGTCCAGTTTCATTCTTTTGCTTGTGGCTGTCCAGTTTTCCCAACATCATTTATTGAAGAGACTACCCTTTCCCCATTGTATATTCTTGGCTCCTTTGTCATAAATTATGACCATATATACCTGGGTTTATTTCTGGGCTTTCTGTTCTGTTCCATTGATCTATATGTCTGTTTTTATGCCAATAAAATACAGTTTTGATTACTATAGTGTTATATCTTAAAATCAGGAAGTGTCGTGCCTCCAGCTTTGATTTTCTTTCTGAAGGTTGCTGTGATCATTCACAGTCTTGTGGTTCCATACACATTTTAGGATTGTTTTTCCTATTTCTGTGAAAAATGCCATTGGAGATTTGACAGGGATTTCATTGAATCTGGAAATACATATTTTAATGTAAGGTTTTTTTGTTTCTTTGTTTTAGACAGTGCTACCAAATCCTCTGTACCATCCAGAAATTGTTTGGATTTATATGAAGAAATCCTGACTGAAGAAGGAACTGCAAAGGAGGCAACATATAATGATGTATGGATTACCAGAATTTTGAAGGACAGTTACTTTGCTCTTTTGTGGCTCCTGAAATACAGACATCAGCTTACTATAGAATAGACATTCTGTGTTTGGGAAGCAGCTCTTAGACTAAAAGAACATTTAAGTCAGTTTCTGCCTTCAGATCTGCTTTTTAAAATAATGTTTTCTGGATGCTTGCCTAAATTTAGTTATAATTTTGCTTGATTGAATTTAAGTGTCTGACCATATAAAATCTCAACAGGCAATCAGTGTGATAAAATATTTTATTTTTTCATGATTTATACAAAGTTATAATTTGTCCCAAGACTTCATGCAGACAAATTTCTTTCTACCTTATTTGAATTTTAAACTTTGGAGATTGAATGTGAAACTACAGAAAATACATTATTGGTAGGCCCAACTTTAAAAACCAGTAATTAAATATCTGTTAGTAGAAATGGACCTCATATACCCTTATTTATGGGTCGATTTGCAAAGTTTGAAATATTTTGAAATGTCACTTAAGCTAAGAAAATAATTTAGAATGATGCTTGATCTTTTTATATCTTACAGTTGCAGGTAGAATATGGAAAATGTCAGCTGCAAATGAAAGAGCTGATGAAAAAGTTTAAGGAAATACAGACACAGGTAGAATTATGATGAATATTTTATTTTTGCCTTGTTAGATTTTTTTTAATTAATTTGTTTAATTAATTTATTTTTGGCTGTGTTGGGTCTTCGTTGCTGCGCGGGCTTTCTCTAGTTACAACGAGCAGGGGCTACTCTTTGCTGTGGTGCGCGGGCTTCTCATTGCGGCAGCTTCTCTTGTTGTGGAGCACGGGCTCTAGGTGTGCAGGCTCAGTAGTTGTGGCTTGCGGGCTCTAGAGCGCAGACTCATTAGTTATGGTGCACGGGCTTAGTTGCTCTGTGGCACGTGGGATCTTCCCGGACCAGGGCTCGAACCCGTGTTCCCTGCATTCGCAGGCAGATTCTTAACCACTGTGCCACCAGGGAAGTCTCCGCCTTAATCAGGTTTTAAAACTAAAATTTAATAAATTTTTTTGTTAAAATTAAAATGCTGAAGTGTTGGCAGGTTGTAAGGAAACTTTTTAAAAAATATTAAATGAAAGAGCAAGTCTGGCAAAACATGCATTCTTTCCAGTGTCAATGAAACTGATAAAGGAAAACTGCTTGATTTGTTAAATGATACTGACAAATGATCTACTAGGCTAACTAACAGTTAAATAATAGAGAATTCTTAGAGACTGTATCAGGTGGTTTAAAAGAGAATGGTTTGAGGCGTGATCCTTTAGAATGGCTGATGAGGAAAAATGGTGATGCTTTAACAATTTTTGCCAGAGAGACATTTTTTGTGATCATGCTGCAAAGTCAGGAATGTACTGTCTTGTTCTGATTTTTATTTCTTGGTAAAGTTGTTTCTCTTCCTTCACCGCCTCTCCCAAAGAGCCAGTCAATCCTCAATTCATTCTTTGTTCACCTGAGAATTAGTACATTGTTGCAAGTTAAAGCTCCTGTTGTTAAATATAATAAAAATTTTATCATCTTCAAAATAATGACCCATTTTCAAAATAATGACTTTTTTTCTTATTTATTGGTTTTTCATTTTGTTCCCTCTTTTAAGTAGTTTCACTTTAAATAGCTTTTCTTTGGCGCCAGTTTTCTTCTTTGAATCTCAGCTTCCCCTTTTGTATAATGAGCATCACTGTACTCCTCCTAAGACTATTTTGAGAATTGCATAAGATAAAATATGTGATGCGTGGCATGTAGTTAGCATTCAGTAATCAATAACTATTATAAATAGTTTAATAATCCTGTCGATACATACTTTATTAAATGTATTTTATGATGTTTAGAATTTCAGCTTAAAAAATGAAAACCAGTCTCTTAAGAAAAATATCTCAGCACTTATCAAAACTGCCAGAGTGGAAATAAACCGCAAAGATGAAGAAATAAATAATCTTCACCAAAGGTATGATTGAGGGATATGGATCTGTTTGTAAATTACATGGGTATTGATAGGTGGAATATTTTTAACTTTGGAAAGCTAATGAAAATCATGCATTTTATTAAATATTTAAGGTTTTACTGAAAGTAAGTGACTAATATTCGAATGGTATATTATCGTAATGATACCTATATGATTATTAATAGAATATTGCCACATACCTCTCTGAATATATTCAGTTTTGTAATACACTGGGATCTTGCTCTGATATCCTTTGGTCCTGAGAGGATGGTGGTGTATGTCATGGGTTCTTCTAGGCGCCCATCAAATTACTAAAATATCAGGAGGATGTCTGTGTCATATACTGTTAACAGACAACCCTTAAAAATCTGTCATTATTTATTTATTTTGGCTGCACCGGGTCTTAGTTGCGGCACATGGGATCTTTTTAGTTGCGGCCTGCGGACTTCTTAGTTGTGGCATGTGGGCTTCTTAGTTGAGGCATGTGGACTCTTAGTTGTGGCATGCATGTGGGATCTAGTTCCCTGACCAGGGATCGAACCTGGGCTCCCTGCGTTGGGAGGGTGGAGTCTTACCCACTGGGCCACCAGTGAAGTCCCTCAATTATATGTTCTTTTCCCTCTTAAATGGATTTTCTACTTAATTTCTCTCTCTCCTTCTTTTGGTTAGGGGCAATATTTGGCTCCAGAGAATTTCATATCTCTCCTCCCCTTGGTAGTCAAACCTCCAAAACAGTTATCTAAACATGCTGTCTCCATTTCTCCACTTCCCATTTCTACACATTCTTGAACCCATTCTACTCTGACCTCTTCCTCCAAAACAGCTGTGACTACCACTAAATTCATCAAATAGTTTGACTTCTCATTTTAACTTGTCTTTATACACTATTTGACATAGTTGACCCTCTTTTCTTGAAATAGTTTCTCCCTTGGGGTTTCATGATTCTTAGTTTTCTTCCTAACTTGAGATTTATTTTTCTGTACTTGGCTAAGTTGGAATTCCTTAAAGCTCAAAACTATGTCCTTTCCTTTCTCTATCAATATTTTCTTATGATGTGATCTTACTTATACTAGTCAGTTCCATTTATATGTAGATACTACCTCACATCTGTACAAAATTTTCAAAATTACCTCATCCACAACAGAATTTAAGACTGAACCCCTTCCATTGTTCCTAGCTCAGTGGATTCCCCATCATTTATTCAGCTGTGCAAGCTAGAGTGACTGAGGGGTGGAATGACCATTTAATGTATTGCCCAAACCAGGGTACTTTTGAGAGTAGAAGGAGGGGCTGTTAATAATTACACTGACACTGCTTGGCAAACTGGGACATATAGTCACCCTGCATAGGGGTCATCATTGACACTTAGCTTTTGGTCATCCTTCAGATCCAAATTCATTACCATGTCCTTTCGATTTTTATGTCTTTATGATCTCTCAAGTTGTTCACTTCTCTTCCATTTCTACCGTTGTTGCTGCCCATCACCTCTCATCTGAACTGGCAGTAGTCTTTGTGCTCAGAACTCTGCATCCGCTCTTGCTCTTTCCAGCCTGTGATTTCTCATTTCTCGACATTAAAGCCACGGGATGCTTTGTAAAGCACAACTCTGGACGTCTGTCACAGAACCACCCCATCCTACCCCCCTTTTTTTTTTAAATGATCTATTTATCTATTTATTCTTGGCTGCGCCGAGCAGCTTGCAGGATCTTAGTTCCCCCACCAGGGATTGAACCCAGACCCCAGGAATGAAATGAGAAGCTGGGGAAAGCTTCTCATCCTAACCACTGGACCGTCAGGGAATTCTCCCACCCATTTTCTTTGTTTTTTTTTGTTTTTTTGTTTTTTTTTTGCGGTACACGGGCCTCTTACTGTCGTGGCCTCTCCCGTTGCGGAGCACAGGCTCCGGACACGCAGGCTCAGCGGCCATGGCTCACAGGCCCAGCCGCTCCGCGGCATGTGGGATCCTCCCGGACCGGGGCACAAACCCGTGTACCCTGCATCGGCAGGTGGACTCCCAACCACTGCGCCACCAGGGAAGCCCCCCCCACCCCTTTTCTTGATTAAAACACATCAGTGGCTTCTCATCGATCGTAGGATAAAAGATCATAAATCTTAACTTGATCCACAGAGCTCTTCACAATATGGTCCCAAACTACTTTTCAGGCCTTGTCTTCAGTGTCTGCCTTTGCCTAGGTATCATAGCTCTAGTGTATCTCCTGCATTCTTTCAGTTTGTTGGGTGTACCATGAGCTCTGAGTTGCATGAACTGTTTCCACTCCCTGAAATGCTCCTCTCCTCCACCTGCTAAATACCTACTTATCTTCAGGTCTCGGCATAAGCATCCTTTTCATGTGGGACATTTGTTCTCACTGACTAGGTCAGATCTCGTTTTTGTAGCTTCATTTACACTTGCAGTTTAAAAAATCATGAATGGGATCACTTAATTAGTGTTCTCTTCCACTAAACTGTAAACTTCATGGGAGCAGGAACCATGTCTTTGTGTCCTCACCATTTATTGAGTATCTACCATGTGCAATAAATGTTTAAAGAGTGAAAGAAGATAATCCTATGTGTGGACCATATGATATGCAATTTAGGCCTTTTGAAAATAAAGATGGTTGCGTATGTTTACTAATCTAAATCCCACAAGGTGCAACAAGTATAAGATTGATTCCTGAAGTGTTGGGGAAATTTTATATATATTTGAATCTTTTAGGGGAGGGATATAATGTTTGAATAGAGTGAAAATTCAGAGAAACTGGGTGAATAAATGATGTGTTATTTCATTAGATTGTTATACGTGGTTATATTGATACATTATCTAATAAACATTCTGTCAAATATTTGCGCTTTTTATTTGTGAGCTTCAACTAGTACTCTAATGGTAAATGTTTATCATTTTGCTGAAAGTTCATTTTTAATAGAAAAAATGGAAATATTGATATAAGATAAAAATTTTAAAGTGTAAATTCTGGAAAGTGTTTAATGTGGAGGGTTTTTTTTAAATAAAACCTTTGGGACTTCCCTGGCGGTCCCGTGGTTAAGACTCCATGCTTCCACTGCAGGGGCACGGGTTCCATCCCTGGTTGGGGAACTAGAATCCCGCATGTTACATGGTGCGGCCAAATAGCAACAACAAAAAATAAAACAAAACTTTTGATAATATTTTATTTGGTGTGGAGTTACGTTAAATGTGTATTACGAGCTCTGTGGGCTAGAACTATCTTTTAGGACCTTACATTTTAATAAGTATGACGTATGTTACACGTGTGCGTGCTTTGTTGAATGTGAGTCCTTTGTTGGATAAATTTATTGCAGACATCTTCTCCCATTCTGTGACTTATCTGTCACTCTCTTTATTGTCTTGTGAGGAATAAAAGTTCTAAATTTTAGTGAAATTCAGTCAGTTTTTTTTTTTTATGGTTAATGCTTTTTGTGTTCACATTTTCCGAGTTGTCTCAAAGGTATTTCCTCATGTTTATTTTTTTGAGTTTATTTATTAGTTTACTAGGACTGCCATAACAGAGTGCCACAAACTGGGTGGCCTAAATAACAGAAATTTATTTTCTCACAGTTCTGGAGGCCAGAAGTCCAAGATCAAGGTGTCAGTATGATTGATGCCTTCTGCGGGCTGTGTGATGGGTCTGTTCCAGGCCTCTCCTTGGCTTGTAGCTGGTTGCCTTCTTCTGTGTCTCTTCATAAAGTCTTTCCTTTGTACATATCTCTGTCCAAATTTCCCTTTTTTATAAGGACACTAGTCATATTGGATAAGGGTCCACCCTAATGACCTCAGTTTAACTTGATTATCTCCAAAGACTCTGTCTCCAAATAAGGTCACTAGTTTGAGGTACTGGGGATTAAATTTTGAGGAGATGCAGTTCAGCCCGTAACAAGATCCACATAAGGTCTACACATTGCCTTAAGTTGTATGTATCCTGTGTCCTCTTGTTTTATAAAAATCTTCCCTTATTCCTGAGACGATGTTCTCTACACATTTAGTACTGATTAGGCATAGATTTATGGAAATTCAGGGAAGTTATAAAAGTTCAGGAAGATGGGTATATTATTACAAAAAGCTAAAATGAGCTATTTACATTTTATTTTTAGGAAAACTGCCAGTTTTCTGAAAACCTTAGGAGTTATTTTAAACAATAAATACATACCATTCCTCTAGGAAAGGATCACAATTCTCTATTCCTTTTTCTTTTTGCACAGTATGTAACACTTTAAGATGGCTATTGACGCTTTGGCTTTTACTGTGGGGTTGTAGGTAAAACAGAAAACTAGGATAGGGAGCTACATAGAGTTGTAGTTTGATCGTCTCTGTTCTCCAGCAAGATTTCACTTTCCCTTATGTTTCAGTTGGGCTAGAGTGAAGGCAAGAAAATAATGTCACTCATTCTAAAAGAAGTGAATTTGTGGTTAGTTTGAGAGTTGTGCACCTGTAGTGAAGGAAATCTGAAAGACATTGGCAAATGCTGGGATAGAACTGAGAGGTCCTCCAAGGCTTTGAGCAAAGCAAATGAAAGAGAGTTCCTTGTTTTAAAAAACTGGCTCATTTAGTTGGAAGCTGGTAAATTCTTACTACTCATTCTTTTATACAAAGTAAAATTAGTTTTGCCAGTATGTGGGCCCCCCAGTTTTAAAGTGTATCACATGTGATTAAACCTTGGGTTATTAAAAAGGAATTAACTTTGTTTTTTTGGTGTTAATTTCTATTTCTCAATAGATTGTCTGAGTTTCCACATCTTCGAAATGCTCATAAAACTTCAAGGACACCAGATATAGTTAAAACAAAAGGTCTTAAATCCAGATCTCTCCATTTGGATGATTGTTCAAAGACTGATCACAGAGTGAAAAGTGATATTTCTAAAGATGTACATCATAGCACTTCACTGCCATACCTCGAAAAGGAAGGAAAATCACATTCTGAAAAAAAGGGCGCTTCACATTTGCCTACATCTGTTGAAAAACACTCCACCAATGGCATTTGGTCACGTTCCCATTATCAGGTTGGTGAGGGTAGTTCCAGTGAGGATCACAGAAGAGGAAGGAAAGATAGTAGACATAGCCAGTACTGCAGAGGGACTGACAGAATACGAAAAGACTTGAACACTAGCTGTGGTGATGGTGAACCGAGGAACATAGAGGCCAGTCAGAGGCTACAAGGACATCCTGAGAAATATAGTAAAGGTGAACCAAAGGCTGAAAGCAAAAATTCAAAGTTTAAAAGTAACACAGATTTGGATTATAAAAATGAACGCAGTAGCTCTTCTTGGGAGAAAGAAAGCTCTAGAGACAGGTCACACACTCGACTAGAATCTCAAAGTGACAAAAAACTCGAAAGACAAAGTGAAAGATCACAAAATATAAATAGAAAAGAACTTAAATCACAAGACAAAGAAGAAAGGAAAGTTGATCAAAAACCTAAGTCAGTAGTAAAAGACCAGGATCATTGGAAAAGATCTGAACGAGCATTGCTTCCTTATTCCAAGAAGGAACTAGCAAAATCTTCTCATAATTCAAGTAAATACCATCCAGAAGAGAGAAGAGGCCGGGAAGATTGTAAAAGAGACAGGGCTGTGAGTAATCATAGTTTTCAAGAAGGAAGATGTCCGTCCTCTCTTTCAACCAATAGAACTCACAAACATGTTGACTCTAAGGAAGTTGATGCTGTGCACCAATGGGAAAATGCACCTTTAAGGGTAGAAAGGCATAGAACTGAAGATAAGCGGAAAAGAGAACAAGAGGGCAAAGAAGAAAATAAGCATATGAGAAATGAAAAGAGAGTACCTGCAGAACATCTGCAGAAGACAAACAGAGAGACTAAGAAAACCGCTACAGATTTAAAGAGACAGAATGAGCCAAAAAATGATAACGGTGAAGTCTCTAATAATGATGTTTCTGAAGGAGTGGATGATAAAGAGCCAGCAGTTAAAGCTGAGAATGGTTCAAATGAAACACAAAACAAAGACTTAAAGTTAAGCTTTATGGAAAAATTGAACTTAACTCTTTCTCCTGCTAAAAAGCAGCCTGTTTCTCAGGAAGATCAGCATAAAATAACCGATACTCCCAAATCTAGTGACATATGTGATTTGGAGTCCTTGGTGCAGGCTAAAACTGTGACATGTATTCCCTCTGTCAGTGAACAGATCACAGAGGAAACCAAATCAGAGTTATTGGAACCAAAGGATGCTCTTACAGCAGCATCTGAACCCAGGACCAGTGTTTCAGAAAGGAAAATAGAAGAAGAAAATAGTTTGTTCATTAAATCTGTTGCGGATACTGTGCATTGTGATATGTCCATCTGTGGCACAGAGATTTCCTTCTCAGCATCTGTGGAAATGCAACAAACAGAATCCTTGTTTCCATCATCAACAGAAATGGAACAGACCATTAATGGTGCCAGGGCAGCAGTTCCTGTGGTAATGGACACAGTACAAACAAATGTTTCTCAAAACTTTGGTTTGGAATTGGATACCAAAAGAAAGGATGACTTAAATTCTTGTAGTATTTCCGAAGATACAGAAATGAAGGAGCCTTTTTCAACCAAAGTGACCGAATCCAATGAAAGCATTTTGCAGCCTTCAATTGAAGAAGCTGTCATTTTGCCAACAGTCCTTTCAGAAGATGGTAAACCAAACCTTGAGCCTTCTCTTGTAGATGCACCACTGGTTGAGAGTAAGTCTTGTCACTTGGAGCCTTGCTTACCTAAAGAGACTCCAGAATCTTCACTTCAGCAGACTGAGTTAACGGACCACAGAATGGAAATTGGTGAAGCAAACTCAGTATATCACGACGATGAGAACTCGGTTCTGAGCATTGACCTTAATCAGCTGAGACCTATTCCAGAAGCCATCAGTCCTCTGAATAGTCCCGTGAGACCTGTAGCAAAAGTTCTTAGACTGGAAAGCCCATCTCAAGTTCCATTATATAATAACAGTCATAAAGGTAATAGTTTATATTATCTCCTATAACTTATATTTTTGTGAGAGTGTAGCATATGTCAGCAAGATGAATCAGTGCTTTTAATTTATTTATTGATATTTATTTACTTTTTAAATTTTTATTGGCATATAGTCGATTTACAGTGTTGTGTTAGTTTTAGGTGTGCAGCAAAGTGAATCAGTTATACATATACATATATCCATTCTTTTTTTTTAGATTTTTTTCCTGTATAGGCCATTACAGAGTACTGAGTAGAGTTCCCTGTGCTGTACAGCAGGTTCTTATTTGTTATCTATTTTATATATAGTAGTGTGTATATGTCAATCCCAGCCTTCCAATTTATTCCTCCCTGCCCTATCCCCTGGTAACCATAAGTTTGTTTTCTACATCTGTGACTCTACTTCTGTTTTGTAAATAAGTTCATTTGTACCCTTTTTTTTAGAGTACACATATAAGTGATATCATATGATATTTGTCTTTCTGTGTCTGACTTAACTTCACTCGGTATGACAATCTCTAGGTCCATCCATGTTGCTGCAAATGACATTATTTTGTTAGTGCTTTTTATTTGATAATTATTATTCAGACCTTTGTTGTTACCTAGAAATGTACATTGAGCCTTTAGTCTAGATTTAGGTAATTCTTAATTATACAACAAAAGGGAATGGTAGAACAGATTGTCTCAAATACTCCTTGCTTGCTTTCAGGTATATTTTTGTTGTCCAAAAGCCATCATCAAATGGCATAGAGTAGGTGATGCTGCTAACATCAAGTAAAGAAACCTGAACAGTTGGTTGCTGTTTATCCAAATGACCAAACTCTATACTATCACTATTGTCAGGCACTTTCTGAGACCAGTAAAGACCATGACATGAGTACGTGTTAGAGTAATATAGTGTAAATAGTGTAAAAGCTGTTAAAATAATAAATTGCCTCAACATTTAATTTTTTGTTATATTTAGTATGGAAATGTTAAATGACAAAGACTCGGTAGTCATGTGACTATAATATGCTTTTTTCTTCCACAGATGTGTTTCCACCAAATTTAGCTCATTCTGCCTCCAAGAGTCAGTCTGATCTCAATAAGGAAAATCAAAAGCCAATTTGCAAATCTGACAAATTTACAGAAGCAGACTCCCACAAGAATTCATCTCTAGATGAATTAGAAGAAGGAGAAATTATAAGCGACAGTGAAAAATCTGAACCACAAAAACGTTTTGACAAAAGTACCAACCCAAGAGCTTCTGCTGAAGTGCAGAACACAAGAACTAACCCAGGAAGTAGGAAAAGCACTGTGCATTTGGATGAAGACAATAGGAAGATATCTTCTATAAAAATCCATCAGACCAAAAGCAAATGGAATAAAAGACGAACTGAATCTAGCAGATCTTCAAAAACAGAGAAGAAAGATAGGTTAGTGGGCACTTCCAGCCTGGAAAAAATAGTGCCAATTATTGCTGCACCCTCTTCTGTCCGAGAGGTTGTGCACATGTTACGAATGATAAGAAAACATGTAAGGAAAAATTATATGAAATTCAAGGTAAAATTTTCATTAATACAATTTCATAGAATTATTGAGTCAGCAATTTTGAGTTTTACATCACTAATTAAACACCTTGACTTATCCAAAATCTCTAAGTCAGTGACTACTTTACAGAAGAATCTCTGTGATGTTATAGAATCCAAACTTAAGCAAGTTAAAAAGAATGGCATCGTGGATCGTTTATTTGAACAGCAGCTACCAGATATGAAAAAAAAATTGTGGAAATTTGTAGATGAACAACTTGATCACTTGTTTACCACGCTTAAGAAAATCTTAGCAAAGTTTTGTGACTCCATAAACATTGGCAGTGACAGTGACGAAGGAAAACTTGAAAAGAGAAATAAAGAGAAAGCACAATATTCAAATTGTCAGAAGGGGAACGTAGGCAGCTCCAGCAAAGAAACGTTGAAGGAGAAACCCCCCAAATCAGAAGATTCTCGTTACTCTAAGTCTTCAGTAGGTTGCAAAAAATCGGAGGAAAAACATCAAGAGCAAAATAATTCCAGTATTAACAGAGTAAAGCACAACATTAAAAAAAGTACTAACACTTGCTTTGGTAATATTAAGAACCCTCAATTTGAAGAGGCGTCCTTGGAACCAAACTGCCCGAAGGCAGGAAAACTGGAAGGCAGTACCATAGAGGACTCACAGGCATCCCAGCACGCTGCTTTGAAGCCAGAACGCAGTTTTGAGATTCTTACTGAGCAGCAAGCATCTAGCCTTACTTTTAATTTAGTGAGTGATGCACAGATGGGAGAAATATTTAAAAGTTTGTTGCAAGGTTCTGATCTTTTGGACAACAGTATTAACTGTAACGAAAAAAGTGAGTGGGAGTTAAAGACACCAGCGAAACAGATGCTAGAGACTCTTAAATGTGAATCTCTACCAGTTTGTACAACGGAAGAGCTCGTTTCAGGAGTGGTTTCTCCCTGTCCTAAGATGATTAGTGATGATAATTGGTCATTATTGTCATCTGAGAAAGGTCCGTCTCTGTCTTCAGGGCTTTCATTGCCAGTTCATCCTGATGTGTTGGATGAAAGTTGTATGTTTGAAGTGTCCACTAACATATCTTTAAGTAAAGATAATGTATGTAGTTCAGAAAAGAGTAAGCCCTGTGTTTCCTCCATACTTCTTGAAGATCTAGCAGTCTCTTTAACAGTACCATCACCTCTGAAGTCAGATGGTCATCTCAGTTTCTTAAAGTCAGATGTTTCGTCTAATTCAACGCCCGAAGAAGTTATTAGTGCCCATTTTAGTGAAGATGCCTTACTTGAGGAAGAGGATGCATCTGAACAGGACATTCATTTAGCCCTGGAGTCTGATAATTCAAGCAGTAAATCAAGTTGTTCTTCATCATGGACAAGCCGGTCTATTGCTCCAGGCTTTCAGTACCACCCTAATCTACCCATGCACGCTGTCATAATGGAAAAGTCCAATGATCATTTCATTGTGAAAATACGCCGTGCGGCACCATCTACCTCCCCTAGTCATAAACAGAATATGGTGGCTGATGAATCTTTGCCAAGAGTGGAAAAGGAAGCTGATGAAACAGTGGAGAAAAAATATATTTCATGTCAGTACAGAGTTTTTAAATCTGTGGAGGAATTGAAAATTTCCAGTAAAAATGTTGATAGCAGTAAATCAGTTCATGAAGAACAGGACTGTACGATACAAACAGAGGTTCCCGATATATATGAATTTCTTAAAGATGCTTCAGGTAAAGTGGTTCATAGTACTGAAGTAGTTGAAGAATGTTTCAAGTTGCATCAAGTATGGGAGCCAAAAGTACCTGAAAGCGTTGAAGAATTGCCTCCAATGGAAGAAATTACACATTCTGTCGAGGATCATCTTCCAAACGCATATATAGACCTCACAAAAGATCCAGTCACCGAGACCAAAAAGTTGGGGGAATTCGTAGAAGTAACAGTTTTAAATATTGAGCAGTTGGGATGTTCTGGAAGCAGTGTGGATCAAAATGCTCCAGTATTAGACAATATGCAGCCTGATACTGTAGATGCTTTTATTGATTTGACACAAGATGTTTCAAGTGACAGTAAAAATGAAGGTAACTGTCCTGCTTTGGCTGTTGAAGACTTGGGGTGTCAGGTGATATGTGTAGATGAAGATAACTCAAAGGAAGAAAAGGTGCAAGTGGCAAACAGGCCTTTGGAATGCATTGTTGAGGAAGCCTGTATCGATTTAACCTCGGCATTTCCCAGTTCGGGTGAAGTGAAAAAGGTTGATTTAAAATCAGAGCTGGCATCAAATTCTGGTAGTTCAGAGTTGCCTGGGGCTTTGGATAATGCTCACAAAAAGAGGAAAAATCTTTCTGATCTAAATCCTTCTCAGAAAAAACAGAGAAAGGAAGCAGACTTAACCGGCAGGGAAAAGACTAAGAAAATTACCCAAGATTCTGGTGAGAATGGTGATGCTCACCGAAAGAAAGCCAGTAAGAAAAAGGCCCCTGTAGTAACTAAAGATCCCTCGTCATTAAAGGAAAGCCCAGGGACTAAGGATGCCTCAGCAGCATCTGCCACTTCTCTTACAGGCCTTTCTGCAAAGAATGTTATTAAAAAGAAGGGAGAAATTATAGTTTCGTGGACAAGGTAAGAATCTAATGAGACTATTAAATCACCAGGAAATCTTAAGATACCAGCAATCTGTTCTGTCATGTCATCATAGTTTTGTCCCATCTTAAAATAGGGAAATGATGACTTACTTCAAAAGTGGCCAAAGTTGGTAGAAGATACGTTCTAGGATACAACCCAGCTGTACTGTAGAACAGTCTAGAGCAGTGGCTCTTAACCAGCGATGTGTACTAGCACCGTGGACAGAACTTTTCATTATGTTTTTAACTTTTCAATGAAAAAGAAAAATTCTTTCGTTTGTAATGTGTGTGTATACGCACATTTTAGAAAGGAGGAATGACAGGTAGTGAATAGGACAAAAAGTGTGGGTGTTTGTAATTTGAGTTTTCCCCCCGAAATTAGAAGCTTCAAAAACAGGTTGTACTTTTGACTTCTTTGTGAGATTTTTAAGAAATGCAGATTTAAAGACCCCATTTCGGATGTCAAGGTGACCGCAGTTGGGAACCATTGAACCAGAGGTGCATGATCTCTAGACCGGCTAGAGTGCATAATGAGAGAGAATGAATTTTGTTGAAATTGGTGATCAATTTTGTTTAAGACCTCAGTCCTCTATGCCTTCATTTCGGGTAACCTGCAGATGGTAAAATCTCAGAGACTATAATAACGCACATTGGTTCAGACCATGTAGAAGAAGCAGAGGTCTGGGGATTAGAAGATCTGGCTTCTGTGTTACTTTTTGGTTCTTCTCACTTATCAGGTCTGTGATCACGTTTGGGCCCTAATTTTTAAAGTACTATACACACTACAAGTAGAATTTTTTAAAATCTTTTATTTTGTCATTAGAAACATACATTAGTATTTGTTTTAGAAAATTTGGGAAATACGTATGAAGTCAAAGATTAAAATCATACATAATCTTATCTCTCAGAGATAACCATTGTCCGTATTTTAGTATACACACTTGTTCTTTTTTTATGGGTTTTAATAAAAATATCCACTCTTATTGGTAGATAGTAAGGCAATGGAATTTTTGTTACCTTTCTGTTCGAACCTACAAAAGCTAAATAACATTTTTCCCCCTTCAGAAATGATGACCGGGAAATTCTACTGGAGTGTCAGAAAAAAGGGCCATCGTTGAAAACATTTTCTCAGTTAGCTGCCAAGTTGAATAAAAATCCGTATCAGGTAACTACCCCAGTTTTACATCTCTATAGTCTCACAGATGTTACTACTCCAAATATTTAGATTTGATTTTTAATGTGTTTAAGATATATAGCTATTTGTTAGCCAACTTCTTTAAAAGTATGGCTCTTTGGAGAATTCCCCAGTGTTCCAGTAGTTAGGACTCCATGCTTTCACTGCCGAGAGCCTGAGTTCAGTCCCTGGTCGAGGAACTAAGATCCCACAAGCTGCGTGGTGCAGCCAAAAAAAAAAGACTGTTAAAAACTTGGTGATCGTGGAAGAAGTCTGAAACAATCCGAATTCTTTATTCTGTTGTTTTGCCATTTACTTATTTGATCTTGAGCAATTTTGAATGATATTTGCCTGTTTAAGAAAGTTTGATATTGAAAAGTTAAACTAGCAATTACCTTTATTATGAAGATATTTTGTTTTTCTAACTATTACTTTACCTTTATAATTAAGGGTAACTTACTCTGTCTTTAGATGGTTTGTGAAAATATTCATCAAAGATAAAAAAATATATATTGAGATGTTTATAATTAACCCTCATTTAAAATTTTTCAGGTCTCAGAAAGATTCCAGCAGCTAATGAAGCTCTTTGAAAAGTCAAAATGCAGGTAGTTAATGGTTACACTACAGTAGGCTAGTAAAGTAAATGTTTGACACTGTACCTGTGCAGTTAATGGCCTGTTAGTCATTGAAGATGTGAGTGGTGGGTGAGAGACATCCAGCTGAGTTCCTGTTTCAGTCACAGGTTGGAGAATGGTTGCTCATGCAGGCTTCTAAGGCACCTCATCCACAGGGACGTGGTCAGTGAAACCTGCTGCAGTGCAGATCAGCATCTTTCCTTAGCCTTCTGAGTGTTGATGAGTCTAAAGTGGGGGGAAATCCATTTGATGATTGATGATAAATTTTTATCGATGAAGAAAAACAAAACATTCTTGAGGGAATTCCCTGGTGGCCCAGCGGTTAGGACTCTGTGTTTCCACTGCCAGGGGCCTGGGTTCTGTCCCTGGTCGGGGAACTAAGATCTTGTGTGCCGCATGGCTCAGCCAAAAAAAGAAAAAAAAGGCAAGAAAACATTCTTGAATAGCATTATATTTCATAGCCAGTGAAATCTGTGCAGTCGTAATTTAACATATTTTACATTTTTAATTAGGAGTGCTAAAATACAAAACATACATTTATAAACATGAAGTCCATTGTCATCTGAAGAGGTGACATGATTTACCATGTTACATTATTAATAATGTTCACAGACATGTTTCTTTAAGCCATTCTTATACGGGTTTATTAAGGCAATAATGTTTATCGGGTATTTCCTATAAGACCTGAGCCAATTGCTTAGATATTTTGGACTTTTATGTAAGGAAGATTGTAAAGATATTTAACATATCACTATTTTTCAGTTGATTTGTAGTCATAATTATTTGAATCCAGAATGCCCAACTTTAAATAAAACTAACTGAAGAAGAACCATATTTGGACATTGATCTCATTGTGAAGGGTTCTGAATACTTCTGAGTTATAAAAATCTGTTTCTAAACCCAGTGTAAATTACTGTCTTTAGATAATCTGTTAATTTCAGTATCCTCTCAAAGCAACTAGTTTGTTAATGAAATCTTCAAAAGATATTTAGTAGTGTACTCTGACATTAAAATTCTGTTTATATAATTCAGAATGTAAGATTGCATAATGAGGAATTTGAAGAAAAAGCTTACTCTAAAGAACCTTTAAAAAATAGTTCGATGCAAAAATGGCCTGCTTTTTTTTCAGATTCACTATGCTGTAAATTTTTCACTGCCTTTAGAAAATTAAACTGAGGTCTTTTTTGTTTTATTTGAACGTTATCTTAAAATATGACTTCCATTCTCTTGTTGAAGATAATGTTCCCTTCATGAACGAACTAACTTGTATCTGGAAATGACACTTATTAGTTTGAAATTTCCAAATTCCATTACAAATCTACAATCTTTTAATGGATTTGGTACTTGAGATTTTATTTGCTTGCATGATAGCACAAATAGTGAGTTATTTCATTCCTAGTTTGTTTTTTTTAAATTTTATTTTATTTATTTATTTTTTATACAGCAGGTTCTTATTATCTGTGTTATACATATTAGTGTATATATGTCAATCCCAATCCCTAGTTTGTTTCTTAACTGATTTTTTTTTCCTTCAGGTACTATAGTCTCATTACATTCTTATCAAAATCAGAGTGTAAGGATAAAGTTACCAAACTGAGTCTATAAAAAGCTAGTTCTTTAACCACCAATATTTATTATCTAAGAGAACTCATTTAAAAGAACAACACTTTATGAGATGGTCATATCAGAAAAATAGAATCATAACTTTAGCATTTTCTTACATTACAGATAAGTTGCTGAATTCCTTGGAGTCTTAATTGATATTGCAAACTACACAGAAGCTTGGAATTCTTCATGTTTTTAACGGGGAAGGAGAGGGCAGTTTTATGACATTTGATTACCAGATAATAATCTGCATTTGTCATAACTTGCTGACTCTTAATCTCAAGCCAGCATGTTCACCTTGTTCCTGACATCAGTCTGATTTGCTTATCTGTTATTGGTCATGATATTTATTTTTAAACAGGTTAGAACTTGTTATTAAGATAAAAGCAACAACAAAACAGTATTGAAACCTTAGTTTTGATATTTCAAAGAAATGACTTTCTTTCTAGATTTTTAAAAATAGTTTTGTAGAATTTTAAGCTTAACCATTATTTAGTTCGTTTCATCCATTTTTATTTGCTTTTCTAATTGCCTGTCCTCAATTTGGTAAATTGTAAAATAATTTAAATAGTGTATCTGTAAATATGTATAATTATAATGATGTAAAATACTTTGTGTTTGTGTGTGTATGTTTGGGTGTATACACACACATAAATGGCTGTACCTAGCCAAGGACTTTTCTATTTGTATAAAACTTTTTATATAAAGTTTGCTTTCTTTACCAGTAATGTATAAATAAAACCATGTAAAGTTCTGTTATATTTTGATTAGAATGTTCTTTTAACGTGCTTAGATAACAATTGAAACAAAAAAAAAGGTAAAACTCCCAGAGGACATGGGGGCTCTTTTGAAGTGGTTCTTGGTTAGGGTGTGGCTGACTGAATGCGTGGCTGGCTGAATGTGTTGGAGCAGATTAATTGGAGAAAACTAGTTGCCTTTGCCTGCTTTCTCACAGCAGGTAATGGTACAGCGAACAGTGCTGCAGGTGTCCTCACAGACAAAATCAGGGCAGCACAAAAACTCCTTTGGGGTGAAGATCTGGGAAAAACAGGTAAGGATTAACTAGCTATGCATTATTTATTCATCCCTCCCCCCTTCAGACTGGTGGTACTGATGGGTTACAATCTAGGCTTTGGACTCTATGAAGTGACTTGAGGAAATTGCCATTTCTCCCACAGTGTCCAGTATCTGCAGGAGAAGCCCTGACCTGAAGGATTACTTGGTAGATAACGAACTGAAATAATGAACTGTGGTTTTGTAGTGCTGGGGCTGCCTAGAGGGCTGGCCCTCAGCCCTTCCCCAGTGCATTCTGTCACTCAGAACCCTTACCACCAGGTGAATGAGTTCCCGAGCCAAAACAAAGTAGCAGCTAAGAGATACCACTGGTTTAAAAGAAAATAAACAGGATTACATAAGACCATAACAATCTAAGATAAAGCCAATAAACGTTAAAAGGAAAAAGAAGATTTTGGCAGTGTGGTACAAGAATCAGAACTAACCACGTAGAAATATTAAAAATATAATATTTAAAATAAATGTAATAAAATGGAATGAAAATAGAGTGGATACAGCTGATGCATGAATTAGTGAGTTGAAAAGTTGGATTGAGAAACTCTTCCAGAAGGCAGCAAAAAAAAGGATAAATAGAAAATAAATGCAGATGTAAGTGGGATGAGGGACAGAAGTAGGATGTGCCAACATTCAAGTAACAAATGAGGTCAGAAGAAGAAAAAATTTGAAGATTGAGAGGGCCATAGAGTGCCAAACAGGAAAGAAGAAAGTACCCACATCTAGACACATACTGAAATTAGGAGTATCAAGGATAACGAGAAAAATCTAAAGGTTTTTAAACAGTCAATCCTTGTATAAAGGAACAAGAATCATTGACCTTACTCTTCAGAAGAGCAATGCTGGCTGTGAGGAAACAGTATTTTTAAGGTACTGGACCTAAAATTTTATATCCATTTAAATTGTTATTCAAATGTGAGGGTTTAATAAAAAACATTAATATTCATCACTCAAAGATCCGCAGTGTAAACATTTTTGGAGAGAATACTCAAAAAACAAGTGCAGGGAATATTTCAAGAACTAGGGGTGAGTGATCAGATACCTTGGTAAAGTGTGTACAGGCTGACCTCAGCGATACTGCAGGTTTGGTTCCAGACCACTGCAATAAGGCAAATACTGCAATAAAGCAAGTCACGAAGTGTTTGGTTTCCACTTCTGCCCATAGGAGTTTATATCACTAGGTGTGAACAAGGTGGCATGGTGAATACGGGCACCATTGACGAGCCTTAAAGGCAGTGGCTGGTGAAGCTCTCACCCTGTGTGCATCTTTCTCTGTCCTGAGACATTTATTCTCTCTAGGCTTTCTGTTCCCTTCTGTTTCTCTGAGTGTGTTTTGGGTCTCCTAGTGACTCCATAGATTCAGCATAACTTTCGGTGAGAGTTAAAGCAGGAACTTAAAAAAAAAAAAAAACTTGTCTATGGAGTGGTTCTCAGCCTTTAGTGTGCAGATATTTGCTCAGCCTTCGGGCCGGTTGGAAGGAGGCAGTGGGTGTCTTTCCCACAGCTGTGTAGTGCTAATATTACTTACCTCATCAATAACTTCCAATTATTACTGTGAGGTTATGGAGAGTTGCCCACTGTGTGCCTCTGTCTTAAAGATATTCACCTACTTGCTAAAAGTCTTCAAGAGTGAAGTGATAAGATTGATTCACCTGCTGAAGACTTTAAAAAATCAGATATATGGTTCCATTTATTGTTTATATTCTAGTTTACACATTTATTTTCTTGAATAGGTAATACATTCACTGTTCAGTGAACCATATAAAAGTATCCATCTCACCTCTTCTCCAGTCACTGGGTTACCTTTCCTTGAGGCAACTAATATTAGGGGTTATTCCATGTACGCTTCTGAGTTGTTCTTTTCATAAATGTATGATTTTTTTTTTTGGCGGTACGCGGGCCACTCACTGTTGTGGCCTCTCCCGCCGCGGAGCACAGGCTCCGGACGCGCAGGCCCAGCGGCCACGGCTCACGGGCCCAGCCGCTCCGCGGCACGTGGGATCCTCCCGGACCGGGGCACGAACCCGTGTCCCCTGCAACGGCAGGCAGACTCCCAACCACTGCGCCACCAGGGAAGCCCTAAATGTATGATTTTAATGTTTTGGCTCTGGTAAAATGCATTAAAGGTATTAATTACTTTGCAGCTGACTTTTAGGATTAAATGTCAAGGGCTTTCTTGGACAATGTACCCTATACTACACAGATACACATATTAATACATCGTGTGTTTTCACCTCTAGTTAATTCTGACAGTCAGTTTGTATTTGAGGCTAGTGTGCTGGGGTAGTGGAAATTTAACCTCTTTACCTGTCTACCTTTCATTATCATCCATTTTTTAAAATTAAATATATGAAAATAGAATAGGCAGATGATACTTATGAAGTGTCAATAACTTCATGCACTTTCTGTATTTTATATGGAAGAGAGCAGGTTTAGAAATGTGCCTTGGAGCTGTGTTCTAGGGACACCCTTGCTGTCAACTCCTCTAAGGTGGCAGTTAGATTGCGTACTTGACATGTGACTAATGTAAGATGCTACAAGGCTGGGAGTTAGGAGATCTGGTCTCTGCGTTGGGCAAATCATTTGACCTCTCGGAATTAAAACACTTTACGAAAATTTGATATAGGTTTCTAAGGTTCTCACATTCTCTACTGGAAAAGAAAATTTTCCTGAGCTGCCTGTTTCAGCCTAATAGAATATTGCTAGAACACATAACCTACAGACCAGGCACAGCCCCCTCTTGGTGGTCTAAAAATGCTTAATTTCTTTTTGAGCTATTTCTCCTTCAGCCTGGCATGATTTGCAAGAGCACTTTGGGTTTGACTGTCACTGTTATTATTTGTTCCCATTTGGTGAGGCCAGACTCAACCCAGGCAGCTGTTGATGAAATTGGACATGACCCATTGATCTGTGACATCAATTCCCAGAGCAATCAATTGACTGAAAGAAATGCACCCAAAGTCAAATCACCATTATCATCCACAAACAAAAAAGGAAAATTCTCATTTGTTTCACCTTTCATTTCCAAATATGATATACTAGGAGGGTCTCCAGCTTCGTGCCAATTAGAAAAAAATATGACAAGAGAATTAAAAAGCACCAAAGGACACCTTGACCTCAGGGGAGGACTAGGTTAGACTCCATTGATCAAAGTTACGGCGCTTATTCCGCATTGGTCCCCACAGCCAGTGGGTCAGAGCTTTTACATCTGCAACCAGCAGTATTTCCACTAATTAGCCACACATGGTCCAACTTGAAGGTTCTTTGAGCCCAGTCATTAATTTTTTTATCCACTCCTAAGGTAAGTTGTAAATACATGGTATCTCTTGTTTATAAGAAATATAGGAAATCCCTGTGGGGATACAAAGATAATATTTGAAATAAAATTCAGGAAAGGAGCACTGACTTTGTACACAGGAGATGCTAAATTAGTATTTGATAATAAAAGAGAATTCAAGAATATTTCTTGGACCTGTAGTTATTTAATAGTAAAAAACAGGTTTTTTTAGGAAACATAGGAAAGCTTGTCTAAAGGATCTTGCTCTTGCATGCTCATATGCATGATTGTATTTCTGTTTCATGTATTTCTGTTTTTCGGTGTTCCTTTTCTTGCTATTTAAAAATTATAATTTACTAGTTTTAAAGCAAGAGTGGCAAAAGGAAGCATTAAATAGTTTAGGATTTCTAAACAGAGAATAAGTTGATAAAATGAGCTAGCTTTTTCACCTTGGGGTTTTTACAGAAAATAGAACCTCTAGCTTTTTTTTAAGTGCTAATAAAGGAGTTCTTTCTTTAAATAAAGAATAATGGCCAGACAATTTTAAAGGAATAATTATGGGAAAGGACCTAAACTCTTTAAGAGAGGATAGAGCTTCGTAAATTATTGCTTCTGTTAATGAGGCAGAAGTCCACAATTTTTAAATCTGATTTTTTATTTGCATGTGCTAGAGATGACTACATTTTTAATTTTTGAATTACAAACAATTCACAAGTATATAGAGTAAAAATAGCCTCCTTAATACCTCTTCCAAACTCTGACAAGTACCTACTACTTTAAAATTTTTATTTAAAATATTGTTTATACATATGCATGTACATACCGCTATAAATTTACATAAATGTATATATTAGATAAAAATCAGTCATGCTTTCTTAGAAGAGTCTTTTTCCTTTTCCTTTTTCTTTTTTGCCTCTCCCTTTAAGCTCCACCCTCCACCCTCATGTTCTCCTACAGACCTCCAGTAACCTATATGAACTTCCTCATGTGTGCCCTTCTGTATTTTTTCTCCATACTTCTATAGCCACATACACATGCATTTCCTATACATATGCATACACATATATGTATATTTATAGGATTTCATTTTACTCAGTGATCTATGGATGAATTAATTTGGGGAGAATTGTTGTCTTTATAAATTTTGAGTTTTCTAATCACTGAGCATGGTATATCCCACCATTAAATTTATTTATTTAAATAGTGCTACGTGTATGTGTATTTAGCATTGTCAGCAATTCTCTTCTTGAAACTGTCCTGCTTTGGTTTCAGTGACATTGCCCTTAATGGTTTTCCCCCTCTTTCTCTTTGGCCATTTCTCATTTTCACCTGTAGACTTTTTTTTTTTTTTTTTTGCAGTACGCGGGCCTCTCACTGTTGTGGCCTCTCCCGTTGCGGAGCACAGGCTCCGGACGTGCAGGCCCAGCGGCCATGGCTCACGGGCCCAGCCGCTCCGCGGCACATGGGATCTTCCCGGACCGGGGCACGAACCCGTGTCCCCTGCATCGGCAAGCGGACTCTCAACCGCTGCGCCACCAGGGAAGCCCCAATCTGTAGACTTTTTTTCCCCTGTGCTATTTTTCAAGGTTTTGTCATTGGCTTACTTTTTCTTCTTGTCCCTAAGTGGTTTCTACCTATTCAATGATTATTCACAAATGTTTATTTATCTCTAATTTGTAACTTTTGTTGTTGTTGTCTTCTGGACATCTCGACTTTTGCCATTCAGTTTTGTTGAGTAAAATCTGTAAGTTTTTTCCAATTATAATTTCTGGCATTAATGGGCTTCAAAAGCCACCTTCTACTTCAAGATATAAAATATGTTTTTACATTTTACTTTAATACTTTTATAGTTTAGTTTTTACATTTAATACTTGTATCCCATCTGGAATTTATTTTTGTGTTTGGAGATAAGTAGGGAAAATATAACAGTTCCATGTTTTTTTCTCTTATATTTTTGAGTTGATATTCATTTGTTTTTTTTCACTGTCCATTTTATACGTCACTGGGCATCCTTGGTGACTAAGTACTGTGAGGGCTGGACCAGGTATACATTGTTGAATTCCCTGGCATCTAGCACAATGCCTATGTGATAGTAACATTTTAGTAAACATTGTTGAATGAATGAATTGTGGACGGAGAGAATTGTTTCATTATCTGTTTTAACTTAATAGCACTTATCCTGTTTTTTTTCTATGTCTTTCATACATGGAAGTCTTCCACATCTTAGAAGCCTTTAAGCTCTCAAATATTTTAACCTCATTGAACCTTGAAAAACATTTGGTTTTTTCAGGGTAAACCGAGTAACCTATTCATATCAGCTATGCCTTGATTCCCAGCACCCAAGCTTGCTAGAGAAGCAGTTTATATTTACTTTTCTTCTTTTTTTGTTGTTAGTTTGTTTTTGTTTGAATTTTATTTATTTTTTATACAGCAGGTCCTTATTAGTTACCTATTTTATACATATTAGTGTATACATGTCAATCCCAATCTCCCAGTTCATCCCACCACCACCACCACCCACTTTTCTTCTAAGGAAGCAGAGCTTCTGTGAAAACCTGCTGTTGCAGATGTGGCTTTGTAGATGTAATCATATGTCATTGCTGGTACTGTTTCTGAGCCTGCTTAATCTTTACTGCTACCCTGTGCCAGTTCCTGAGGGTTTATTTGGCTGAGTTCTGTTTTCTTTACTCGTACTTTCAGTCTTGCGGTGGGAACCATCGATGATACATAATGAGGATCTATTTTGTTTTTCTGTTGATGATTTTTCCAGTGATAGAGTCAAGGAACTGAGTTTTAAAAAGAGAAGACAATTCAATCCACTATTATTTATTGATACCTTAGTGTGCCAGACCAAAATGAAATAGAAAGTGTCCCTATCTGCAAAAAGAGTACCTTTTCAGGAAAGGTAACATAAGACAACTGTCACAAAACTCATTTTAGGCACAGTACCAAGTGAGTGGGATAAACACTAGTGTTGTGTGAATTTAGGAATGGGAAAAATCACTCTGACTTGGGATGGCTGGGGAAAACTTCCTGGAGGAGTTGAGGCTTATTTAAGATCATGTAGGATGTATGGTAAATATGGCTTCTCATATGTTAGAAAAATGAGCAAAATTGTGGAATGGAATGCATTGTACAAATATGATGGCCAATGAGTATACCAGAATGACAGTCAACTTTGTGTAGGAGAGAAGATGACAGGAAGGGAATTGGGTCAGATTGGGGAGGGTCGTTAGTGTTTTTCCCAAAACATATTCCTTAGAAATACCCTGTTTCAGCAAGCACAGGCCATAAATATTAGAGCTGGAAAATCCTTTGTAGTTTTGTTGACACGAAGAGAGGACCTGCTGTACTGATGAGCTCGTCTTTATATCTTACATCCATGGATGCTATTAACCTCAGTGTTTTCTGTATATTTCAGACATTAGTCCCTTACCATGGGGGATTGGAATTTATTGGGTGGCATCCTAGAGGAAGCTCACTCCCACTCAACCATGGTGGGGAAAATCTGGCTGACCATCCTTTTCGTTTTCCGGATGCTGATACTAGGTGTAGCTGCTGAAGATGTCTGGGATGATGAACAGTCAGCATTTGCCTGCAACACCCAGCAGCCAGGTTGCAACACTGTCTGTTACGATGATGCTTTCCCTATCTCTTTGGTCAGGTTCTGGGTTTTACAGATCATCTTTGTGTCTTCTCCCTCTCTGGTATATATGGGCCATGCACTTTATAGCCTCAGGGCCTTTGAAAAAGAGACGAGGAGGAAAAAGTCACAGCTTAGAGCCCAGATGGAGAATCCAGAGCTTGAATTGGAGGAGCAGCAAAACATAAATAGAGAACTGAGGAAGTTGGAGGAGCAGAAGAAGATCCAAAAAGTCCCTCTGAAAGGATGTCTTCTGCGTACTTACGTCTTACACATCCTGACCAGATCTGTGCTGGAAGTAGGGTTCATGATAGGCCAATATATGCTCTATGGGTTTCAAATGCACCCCCTTTACAAATGTACTCAACCTCCTTGCCCCAATGCAGTGGATTGCTTTGTGTCCAGGCCCACAGAGAAGACCATTTTCATGCTCTTTATGCACAGCATTGCAGCCATCTCTTTGTTCCTCAACGTACTGGAAATATTTCATCTGGGGGTCAGGAAAATCATGAGGGCACTTTATGACAAATCCAGCGGTGAGGGCATTGAGGACGAAAGGGGACCTCCATTTCATTTGAAAAAATATTCAGCGGCCCAGCAGTGTATGAATTGCTCTCCCTTCCCTGAAGGAGTCTCTCTACTTCAAGCCAGCAATCAACAGCAAGTCTTCCGAGTCAATGTGCCGAATTCTAAAACCACGTGGCAAATCCCACAGCCCAGGCAACTTGAGGTAGACCCTTGCTGTAGTAAGAAAGACTGGGCTAAGGCGGATCAGCACAGGGGACAGCTCCATGTCCACAGCCCGTGTCCCTGGGATGATGGCGCTAGAATTCAGCACTCGGCACAGCAACCAGACCGTTCTCCCTTTGGCTTGCAGACTACAACGCCCCAGTCCTGGCTAGGTACCACGATGGCTCCTAGACATTGTCCATCACGTACAACAGGACCCTGGGAGCAGTCCCAGGACCTGCAACCCTCAGGGGAGGCTCTCACAGGTTTACACAGCCACTGCAGACACAGCGATGGCAGCATGAGAGAGAGCAGAGCCCAGACAGACAGATCTTGCATGGGCAGTCGCGAGGCCAGATTGCTGTCTGAAAAGGGACAGCTGCACAGTGACTCAGTAAGCTCCAGTTCTCAAAATAGCTCTTGCCTGGACTTTCCGCACCGGGAAAACAGCCCCTCACTTCTGCCTTCAGCCACTGGGCACAGAACATCAGTGGTAAGTAAAGACAGACAGCCTGACTGATCATGGGACTTTCACAAGAGGTGTTCCACTTTGGTTACTTCTTAGCCTTCTGTTTCCTCCTTCTTTGTGTATATGTGTGTGTTGAGAGAGAGGGAAAGGAGGAGAGAGAAGTTAATTTATGGAGAGTTAAATTCATCCATTTAACACATTCAGTTGAATTTAATTCGTAAAATAAACTTATTGAAAACTTTTTATCAATTAGTCTTATAAGTGCTGGGTATATAAATGAATAAAATATCATGTGTACCATCAAAGGGCTCAGAGTCTGGATGGGAAATTAGGTAAACATATAAATGATCAAGTGTAAGGTGCCATGTTAGAGGGAGTGGTGTGCAAAGGAGGGAGAAGTCAATTCTTTCTGGATGGGTCAGGAAAAGCTTTATAGTTGAAGCTACTTTTGAACTGAGTCTTGAAAGATGTGCTGAGTTTCTCCAGACCTGGGAGGACTGGGGTACATGGAAGGAGGCTGTCCCAGTACAAGGAGAACACAGACAAAGGCTGAGAGGTGTGACATAGCAGGGCTGTCTGGGGAGCCACGTGTGTCTGGAGCACAGACTAGTAGGAGGGCTTCAGAGAGAGGGAAAGTTGGAGAAGGGGGCATGGAGGCCTTGCAGGGAGGCAGTGGAGAACCCATAGAGGATGTACAGCAGAGGAGTGACTGGATCAGAGGTGCACTTTGGACAGCTCTTTGTATCAGAGTGTGGAAAACGGATGGAGGAGGGATCATTTGTAACCTTGAGTTGCCCTTGTCTCACTAAGGAAGGAGGGTGTGCTCCATTGTTTTAATAGCTCTGGCATTTAAAAGTCATACACAAATATTTGTTGATATATTTCACAAAGAGGAAGATCAATATTGTATTGATAATTCTGTTCTCTGAAAAGCCACTGTGGAATAAACATTCCCTGGCCATTGTAAGGCATAATGGATATTTACTGTGGATTCTTCTCAATTCTGAAAAAAAAAAAAAAAGGGGGAGAGAATGACACATGTTTTACGTACTGCTCCTAACAACTTTTTTCCATGAAAAGGAAAAATCCCCCAAGTTAATAGGGGAACTTCCCAATTGAGTTCACTTGGTTGAACTCACACTCTTGCTTTTTCCTTTGCTTCATTCTTTGTGTTAATAATGATTGAATCCTTCTACCCTAGTTTCGTATCTCCCATGAGATATTTTGTGACTGCGCTAACGCCATACCTTGAGGAGGAATCATCATACCTAGATTTTTCCTAAAATGCTTTTTTTCAAACTTATTTCTTGTCAGTGACCAGCTGTCTTCTCAGGAGATTACGCGTAAGATTATTCTATGGCTGTTTGGAACCCTATGCCAAACTGTAGCAGGGTTCTCAACTCTGGCTTGAGTTAGAGTCACCTGGAGCTTTAAAAACATCTCCATGCCCAGGACCCATCCACTTCCAATCAAACCAGAATCTCTGGAGATGGGATGGAGGATTGGTATTATTAAAATTCCCATGGCGATTGTAATGTACAGCCAGGGTTGAGATCCACTATTTTATTTTATTTTTTATTTTTTTTTACTTTTTGGACATGCCCTGCATCTTGAAGAATCATAGTTCCCTGACCAGAGATTGAACCTGGGCCACAGCAGTGAAAGTGCCAAGTCCTAACCACTGGACCACCAGGGAACTCCCGAGATCCACCATTTTAGAGTAACCTTGCCAGTGGCCACTGCTTCTTATCTGCATTTGTGAAGTCAGCATGACAACTTTCATCATTTTCTCTCTCCTGTACCTCACTCCATGTGAGAGGAGCCTTTGTATTAACAGAAAATTGAGGAAGAAAAAGCAGTGTTTAGTTGAAGCAGATTTTCTTAATCGCAGATTATCTTTTGGGAGAGACCAGCCTCACTGAGGAGCTTGGAGAAAAGATGATGAAGGTGACAGGCCCTCTTTCTTTTTCATCTTCCTCTTCCCTGTTTATGTTTCTAAGAATTATAAATAATGCCTTTGGCCACAGAGATTTCCTACTTATGGTCACTTTCCCCCAAGCCTCTTGACAGGGGAAAGGCTTGAAAGGGGGTTGACAGGCCACTTCACTCCCCAAATGGTGGAAGTCTTGGGAATTGAGGCCACAGCCGTCAGCTCCAGAGCACTGTAGCTGACACATCATACTTACTGCAAACAGAGGGATCTTTCATTGGAAATTAGCGCAGCAAGCAAAGGATTGTTCGCATCCACTTTCAATACATGGACTGTAAACAGCTTCTTACACTGTATCAGGTCCCAGAGGGCCGAAGTTTTAGGGCTCAATCAGATGTATTCTGATTGCAGCAGTTGGTGTTTCAGAGGGAAATGACTTCTGGTAGGTACCACAGTTGCTTTGCCACTTGCTCCCCTTAGAGAGAACTGTCCTGCAAAAGAAATCCACGCTATTATAGGTCAGAAAAAACACCTGGAAGAGCTGCGATTTCCACTCCAAGACATTTCCGTTGCCATCACCCAAACCCCGCAATTTTTTCAAGTCTAAGCTTGTTGATTACTAAATAAGTTTCTGTAAAGGTTGGTTCTTTGTGGACAGACTTAATTGGGCATGGAGAGCAGACTTTTAGTCTGGCCGAGTGAGCATGGGGAAGAATGCTGGTTGAGTTTTAGGAACCCATGCTACCCTCTGTGATGAAGACTTTCCTCATCGTTGAATGCTTTCACCTGTCAGAGATGCTGTGGAGTAGTAATCCTCATGCCCCATTCTACTTTAAATCACCAGGGAAGCTTTGAAAAATGCCCTAATAAGAATTCTGCAGATAGAGCCTGAGCACCAATACTATTTTTTTAATTTATTTATTGGCTGCGTTGGGTCTTCGTTGCTGCACGCAGGCTTTCTCTCTAGTTGCGGCAGGTGGGGGCTACTCTTCGTTGTGGTGCGAGGGCTTCTCATTGCGATGGTTTCTCTTGTTGTGGAGCACGGGCTCTAGAGCACGAGGGCTTCAGTAGATGCGGTGCATGGGCTCAGTAGTTGTGGCTCACGGGCTCTAGAGAGCAGGCTCAGTAGTTGTGGCACACGGGCTTAGTTGCTCCGCAGCCTGTGGGATCTTCCTGGACCAGGGCTTGAACCCGTGTCCCCTGCACTGGCAGGCAGATTCTTAACCACTGAACCACCAGGGAAGCCCCCAATACTATTTTTTAAAACTCCCAGGTGATTCCAATGTGCAACCAGAGCTCAGAACCACCACTGTAGAGGAGGAAGGTTTTGGCATTAGGAAGAAGGTTGCCCTGTGACCTCTTCCAATCTTTTGTGACATTGAAGTGCTAACAAAGAGCGTTCTCCTGTAGTTCCACAGAGCTGAGGACCTTTGCACTTACTGGTCCCTCTGCCTGTGATGCCCCACCCACCCCAGGACCTTGGCACGGCTGATGGTGCCAGCTGTGCCAAGGTCCTGGGGAGCACTCTTGGGCCATGATCATGGAGGGGAGAGCTAGGAACGAGGTTGGAATGGGCAAGGGCTGATCTGTTGGGTGTTATAGGCCATGGAAAGGAATTTGAGGTGGATGGTGCAGGAGTGATGGTGGTCTGCTATGTATATTTTTAAAATCACTGTTTCTGATGAATCTCTTGTAGAGATGCTATGGTCTGAATGTTTGTCCCCCGCCCCCCCAGATTCATATGTGAAACCTTAATCCCCAGTGTGATGGTATTTGGAAGTGGGGCCTTTTGGAGGTGATTAGGTCATGAGGGTGGAGCCCTTATGAATGGGATTAGTGCCCTTATAAAAGGGGCATCAGAGAGCTCCTTCTCCCATCCACCATGTGAGGACACAGTGAAAAGATGACTGTCTGTGAACCATGAACTGAGCTCTCACCAGACACTGAATTTGCCAGTGCATTTGTCTTGGAATTCCCAGCCTCCAGAAATATAAGCAATAAATTTCTGTTCTTTATAATCCACCCAATCTATGGTATTTTTTTATAACAGCCCAAATAGACCAAGACAATGGGTAAGAGTGCAGTCAGGGAGACCAGCTAGGAGGCTTGCACAGTGTCCAGGTGAGAGGGTAGTGTGGCTCAGACCAGGGGTACCACTGTTAATCGTTTGAAAGAAGAGTCTTTTTCTTATTTCTTGTTTTTCCAATTAAAGTCGTACATGCTCATGGAAAGACATTCAAGCAGTGTAAAAGAACATAAGAGTAAAATGTGAACCTGACCATGTGAGGGTTCATCTGTCACTCTCACCTGGACTCAATTCCCACTTCCCTCACCAAAAACAATCACTGTGAACAGAATGGGGTGTGTTCCCCTACCTTCCTCACTGCATTCACAGTCTGTCTTTGAGGACAAATATATGTCCGCACCTATTTTTTATTTTTTTCAAAAATATAAATGTGATCCTGCTGTAGAGATGTCTCTGCAATTTGCTTTTGCTTAATTAATGATATGTCTCAGGGACTCTCCATGTCAGCACCCACGGAGATGCCTCGGTTTTACATGCCTCACGCTTTTCCATGAAATTGATGAACCATAAGATACTTGATGGCCATGTAGCCATTCTAAGTTTTTCCTGCCACAGACAACGTTGCAGTGAATGTTTCATACATATATCTTTGATCGGTACCTAGAAGTGGAATTATTGGTTTTAATGGGCATGCATGTTTTACATTTTGATAGATGCTGCCAATTTTTGCTCAGGAAGGGCTGTACCAACTGACCCTCTTTACCAGTGCATTAGCACTCTTTCCCCACACTCTTGCCAATATCAGACGTTATCTCCCCCCACCTCCAATTTGACAAACTAGAAATGTTTCATAACATTTCCCAACATTTCCAAAATGTTTGTCTTAATTTACATTTCCACGATTACTAGTGAGGTTGTTCATATGTTTATTAGCCATCTGTATTTCTACCATGAATTATCCTTGTCTGTTTTTCTGTTATTTGTTTTTCTTCTGATTTCTAGGAGCTCTTTTATGATATTGTATTAACTCCTTGTCTATATATGTATTGAAAGATATTCTCTCAGTCCGCTTCCTTCTTATCCCTGTGTATGGTGTCTTTAAAATTTTAATATTATATTAAATCTAAAATCTCTGTGACTTCTAGGTTCTTTGCCTCATTTGGGAAGGTTTTTTTGACTCAACATTATTAACAGGGGTTATCAGATGGGTGTTTGAAGAGTTGATTGTTACAATTTATTGAACTTTTTGGCAGAGGAGCTTTACATAATATATCAATTACCAAAGAGTCTAAAGAAGAGGAGGAAAGACTCCCACTTTACTGAGTCCCTGATTGTGGTCTAGACACTGCCATGGGCTTCTTCACTGTGACTCTGTGATTATTCCCATTTAAGGATAAGGAAATAGATGACTTGTCCAAAGTCATGCAATTAGGATGTGGTAAAGCACAGTCTTTGGGACATAGCAGGGACATGAATTAATATTTACTGAATGAGTGGATGGGCTGGAATTGTATCCCAAGCTTGTCTGACTCGACCCAAGTCCTTCTCCCATATCCCATTGCTGCTTCCTGCTCTCCCTACACAAGGCAACCTAAGTGTAGCATATTTTTAAGATAGATTATTACAAAATGGAACATCCACATTTGGTTCAGTTTTCCCATTCTACATTACTGCAAAGTCAAAAATTCTGGTTAATTGTGGAGGGGACAAAGATGGAGCTTTGGAAAAGGTTGGCCTTTTAGTATTAGACCTGGATCTTGGACAAAACAACCACAACTGGATAATGAGGAGGAGATGGCAGGTGGGATTCAGATCTTCTGCCACAGCGCTGTTGGGGAACAGAACCTCTTACATGCACGTTCATCTCTGGGGCAAGGTCGGGGGATTGTCTTCTGTAGGAGGTTTTTGTTTGGATTTGGGATATTTGTGACACACAAAGAGTCTCAGGTGGGTAGGCAGGACTGGCTTTTACAAGCCCTTTGAGTCTATTTTGTTTTGTTTCAGAACATGCTTCTAGAACTTTCATCCATTATGAAAAAATAATGCATCCTGGGACCAGAAAAAACAGACTCAGGAGCAGCTGGCATCTGCGAGATAAAAGTTGTATGTTTGTCAGCTCAAACTGCAGGAGGAACTCTGAGAACCATCCCCTCCAGAACCATGAATCAGGCAATGTCTGTGTATCGGGGGCTCCCAGCTGGGCTCCCTGACTGCTGGGCTCAGCCTCTCACTGCTCCGCTTGGCCATGCTGCCTGAGGCCGATCCAATGCTCTCCACACACCAGGGAGGGCACTCTACCCCATCAGAGAAAATCTAGGGGCAAGAGCCGCCATCCGAGGGGAGGAGAAGTGGAATGTGCTACCATCCCTACCAGTAGCTGACTCTGCAGCAGCAGCAGTTTGGACCCTTGAACGTGGTTCCAGAGCAGGCTGGGAGCTCTGCCTGCAGCCTGGGCTCAACACGCTTCCTGTCTGTACACCAGAGGCTGGAGGGAAGCTTTCTGTTTTCTTCCTCTCATCAGCTCATTTCTTGGGGATGAAGCAGCTGGATGTTCGTCCCTAGATGCCATTACATAAAATATTGGTTACAGCACTGGCAAACACTCGCATCACATGACTTTATCCTTCTGCTGGGATCGTGGTCAGTAGTGATGCCATGACTATGGGCCAGCAGGTGCTGGGGAATCTCATTCCCAACTTCCAGGGGAGTGACTGAAGCCAGCACCACTTCCTCACCCTCCCCACCCTCCCAGTGGTCCCGAGCCATCCAGGAGAGGTGCATCAAAACACTGAACACTTCTTATAGAGCACAGAGGCATGGATGGCTGTGTGATGTCCACTAACTATCCAGTCGGTGAGGCTGGTTGGCTGGTCATTACTGTCTGAGTTCTGAGAATCAGGAAGGTGGACTCAATTCCCATGGAAGGAGCCACTTAGCCCTGTCCTCTGTCCCGTGGCCAGACTCTCCTATCCCTGGCCACACACCTTGTAACAAAGGCTTCAAGTTATTGGGAGAACCAGTTTGTTCCAAAGACACAAAGGTCTGCATTATCTATATCCTGCTGAGATAAAATCCATACTCCTTAGCCTGGCACATAAAGCCTTCGTGGGCTGACTCCTGCCTCATGTTCATTCCCTACCTCCTGTGCCCTAGCCCGGCTGCACTATGAGTAAAGCAGATTGCCTTCCCATTGTGGGTGACCAGCAGCCAATCTGTTGAGGGCCTGCATAGAATAAAAAGGTGGAAGAAGAGTGAATTTGCTTTCTCCATTTGAGAAGTGGAGTCTAATTTCCAGCCCCTTCAATCTGGGCTGGCTTTAGTGACTTGCTTGACCATAGGATTCAAGGACAGTGATGTTCTAGGACTTCTAGGATCTTGCAGTTTCTATCCAGGCTCCTTCTTGGAGATCTCTCTCTCTCTCTTCTCAACCCCAAGTTGCCATGTAAGCATTCCAGCTTACAGTTCCAGTTGAGCCCAGCCTTCCAGCCATCCCTGCCAAGACACAAGACATGTGAGTGAACCCATCTTGAACCCTCCAGACCAGGCCATCTACTAACTCAATACCACTGAATGCCCTCAATCAGCATCTCATGGAAGAGAAGAATTGCCGTCTGAGCCCTGCCCAAATTCCTGAGCTCCCCAACTGTGAAATATTATTAATGGTTGATGTTTTTAAGTCACTGTGTTTTAAGGTAATAATTTGTTACAAAGTTTTAGATTACTGGAACAGTAATGGTAATGACAGAACAAAATAATGCAGAGTTTTATTAAAATTGTTACATGAAATATGAGAATGGAAGGCCAAAGGAGGACTTTTTTTTTTTTAGAAATTCATCTCAAGTAGTCATCACTTCACTACTCTTTTCATTCTTTTTTTTTTTAAATTAGTTTATTTATTTTTGGCTGCGTTGGGTCTTCGTTGCTGTGCACGGGCTTTCTCTAGTTGCAGCGAAGGGGCTACTCTTCGTTGCGGTGTGCAGCTTCTCATTGCAGTGGCTTCTCTTGTTGCAGAGCATGGGCTCTAGGCGCATGGGCTTCAGCAGTTGTGGCTCGTGGGCTTCAGCAGTTGTGGCTCCCGGGCTCTAGAGCGCAGGCTCAGTAGTTGTGGCACGCGAGCTTAGTTGCTCCACGGCGTGTGGGATCTTCCCGGACCAGGGCTCGAACCCGTGTCCCCTGCATTGGCAGGCGGATTCTTAAGCACTGAGCCACCGGGGAAGGCCTGGAGGACTTTAATGTTTGAGGAACTTAAATTAGTAATCACTCCCATTTATAGAGTATAGTAATTAAATTCCCTTCAATATTTTAAACTCCATTTATAAATGTAATGCATTTGATCTGTTTTTTAAACACTTCATACTTGTAGGACAAACACAAAATCCCTGACAAGTAAAACATTCCTGAGTGTTACCAAGTCTAAGCTCATACTGCTCACCACACGACAGGCCAATAATTGAGAGATGAGTTGTTGGGACAAGGAATAACAACTTTATTCGGAAAGCCAACAGACCGAGAAGAAGGTGGGCTCGTGCCCCAAAGAACCATCTTGCCTGAGTTAGAATTCAGGCTCCTTTTATACTAGAAGGGGAGGCAGCAAAGTCAAACATCTAGTTCCCATCAGCCTCAGGAGGGAATGTGTTAATTTCTTCCTCTCTGCAGTCATTCACAGGTGGGCCTGGTCAGGATGTTTCCTGTGATGGAAACAAAGGTATTCTAGCTTAATGCTCATTACCTGGGAAGCAGGGTTCCCAGAGATGGGCCATTATGTATAATTTAAGCTTATAGGCAACAGCCCTTTAGTGATTAACTTGTAATAGAATACAAAAGGTTCTTCCCTATTACATTAGTACCTAAACATGTAGGAATCCTCAAGTTCTCTCAAACATTCTAATACTTTTAACAACATTGGTCAACTTCTCTTACTTTTCAACTTAAAATCAAAGGCCTATGAATATGGTGAACTTATCTGCATTTCAAAGTAATATATCCACCTAGAACAGGAAAAAAAAAGAAAAAGATCTAATCCAGGGAAACTTGGAACACAGTACTTGGACTATATACCTTTAGTTTAAAACAAAAAAGCAAAGAAACAAACAAATTTAAAAAACCTGCAAACAAATTGTAATCTCCATTTAGTAAGTTTGCTGTTTACAGTGGTATGAAGGTAGCAATTCTGAAATTATACTGTGTATATTGTAAAGCTGAGAAATATATTGATTATTGTGGGAAACAGAGTTCTCACTATGGGAAAAGGATGATACAAATATGGAAAGGAGGAAGACAAGGAGGGATCCTGTGTTTGGGGATTGGATTAGAGATATCAGTATGAACTTATGATTTGAATATGTATGTCTATATACATGTGTATATTATATATATTCATATTTACTTTCTCTCTTCTCTGAAAGGGCCTAGAAGTAGTGACACAGCAATAACAATGAGCACTCGTACCATACAGATCTTGGTCTCTAAATACTATTCCTCAGTAAAAACTCTTTAGAAATATGGATGATCCAGGAGTGGGGCAAGAGGGAAAAAAGATGATCCTGAAATACCTTGCTGTACCAGAAAGTAAAGAAGTGTTCACAGTACGATGGGGGATATGTGCAAGAGCAACTGCTTATGGGTGAACCTGAATAATGGAACACTCTGAAATTGTTTGCAAAAAATTATGAATTGGTACATTGTTCTGGGGAAAAAGTCCCTAGCTTTCAGTGGGCTATTGAAATTGGCCATTGGGCTTTACCTTTCTTATTGATGATTTAATTCTAAAGAAATGGCTCCCAGGTCCTTGAGGAAAACTTCCTCATTTGTGAAACTGGCAAGAAGCTTATTTTAAAAGACTTACATATATTTGAAAAGGAGAGTGAAAGAAATTCTGAAAGAAAAGGGAGGGGTGGGACTTCCCTGGCGGTCCAGTGGTTAAGACTCCGCACTTCCACTGCAGGAGGCATGGGTTTGATCTCTGGTCGGGGAACTAAGATCCCACAAGCCGCCCCACAGCCAAAAAAAAAAGCGAAAAGGAAGGGGTGAATGCGGGGAGTTTCTTCCCTTATTTTTCAACAGGGAGAATAAGCCTCTTAATTTGCATTTGTTCCTACACAGTTTATAAGTAGATAGGGAAATCAGATAGTATATCAGTTTCTAAACAAATATATTTATTTTATAATTCACATAAGTGATTTAATTAAGTAAATTGCTCCTAGTTTTCTCAGTCACCTAAATACCTGGAAGGATTGACTATTTATTAATTGCCTATTATATGTGGGACAAAGTAAGTTGAGATACAAAGGTGAATAAGGCAGATCCTGTGTTCCAGAGTTTTTATTCACCCTGGGAGATAGACACAGAATCAGAACTTCTAGAGAAAAACCAAGGCCTAGGAAGGTTAAGTCATTTAACCCAGGTCACAGCGAGTTAATGGAAAAAAGTGCAACCTTAATGACTCAGGTCTTTAGATGCTGGTTCAGCACTCTCTGAACTTAACATAATACTTCTAATGATATCCTAATGAGGTGCCAGTAATTTTTTTCTTAACTTTTTAAAAAATTTATTTTATTTATTTTTTATTTTTGGCTGCATTGGGTCTTTGTTGTTGCTGCACGCAGGCTTTCTCGTTGTGCTGAGTGGGGTCTACTCTCTGTTGCGGTGCGTGGGCTTCTCACTGCGTTGGCTTCTCTTGTTGCGGAGCACGGGCTCTACGCATGTGCGCTTCAGCAGTTGTGGCTCGCGGGCTCTAGAGTGCAGGCTCAGTCATTGTGGCACACAGGCTTAGTTGCTCGACGGCACGTGGGATCTTCCCGGACCAGGGCTTGAACCCGTGTCCTCTGCATTGGCAGGCGGATTCTTAACCACCGCACCACCAGGGAAGTCCTGGTAGTTCTATATTTAGTTTTTCAAGGAACCGCCATATTGTTCTCCATAGTGGCTGTATCAATTTACATTTCCACCAACAGTGCAGTTTTAGTAAGGTTTGTAATAGTTTCCTCTGATGTTGTCTCCGGGCTGATAAGGGTCTAAAGTGTTATCTAGTGATTAGCTTCTGTCTTTCCTGGTAGAGGTAGAAGAGGGGACACTTCTATAAATTAATGGCAAATCGGGGAGGGCAGAGGGCTTTTGTATAGGCATACCTTGTTTTATTGTGCTTCCCTTTATTGTATTTCACAGATACTGTGATTTTTACAAATTAAAGGTTTGTGGCAACCCTGCATTGAACAAGTCTATGAGCACCATTTTTCCAACAGCATTTGCTCACTTAGTGTCCCTGCGTCACATTTTGGTAATTCTCACAACATTTCAAACTATTTCATTATTACTATATTGTTACTATATTATGGATACCTGCGATCAGTGATCTTTGATGTTACTATTGCAAAAATATTACGACTTGCTGAAGGCTCAGATGATGGTTAGCAGTTTTTGGCAATAAAGTATTTTTAAATTAAGGTATGTAATTTTTTTAGATATGTTATTAATAGCACACTTAATAGACTATAGTATAATGCAAACATACTTTTAAATGCACTGGGAAACCAAAAAAATTATGTGACTCACTTAATTTTGATGTTTGCTTTATTGTGGTGATCTGGAAGCAAACCTGCAGTGTCTCCAAGGTGTGCCTGTATCTGTTTCTCTCAATTGCCTTCAGTTCAAGAAAGCTTATATACCTTTTAGACAAAGAAGCAATAAATTTGTGAAGAAATTACACGACAAAAGGGGTTTGGGCTAGGGGCAGTAAGTTGTAGGAAAGAGACTAGGAGATATAGGGAAGATAAGGATTGTTTCAGTAAGTTTGTTTCTATAAACCCATTTGAATGTTGATTACCAGTGTCAGGTGACAATGATGTTCTTTTACTGCTGGTTCAGGGAGGGCACATTTCTCATGGGAAATTTGATGGCCTGTTTTTAGGTGGAAACATCTGCATCTGTTGTGTCCAGAGTACCTTTAGCTCAAAATAGTCAGTATGCCAAAGTGGCATATTTTGGGGTGGCATGTCTTGAAATCCTTCCTGCCAAAGTGGCATGTTTTGGGGGTGACATATTCTGCTACCCTTTTGTACCTGAGTCCTTTTGACATGACCCTAGTAGTCTTTTAAAAATATATATTATTTTACCTTTTATTATTGAAATTTCCAAACATATACAGTAGTAGAGAGGCAAGTCTATGGACTCCCACTACCCCGACATCCAGTTTCAATAAATATCAATATATTGCCAGTCTTGTTTCATCGATACCTACACTTCTTATCCTTGTTGATTCTCATTAGCATTACTTTTAGAGCTTTCTTGAGGCATAATTCACCCATTGGAAGTGTGCAATTCAACGATTTTAGTAAATTTATAGAGTTGTGCCACCATCACCACAATCCAATGTTAGACATTTCCATCACCCCAAAATGTTGCCTCTCAGCTGTTTGCAGTCAATCCTTCTTCCACTCCTATATCCAGGCAACCACTGACCTGATCTATCAGTTTAGTTACTTTAGAGCTGTTGATTTTCCTGCTGCTGCCCAATAGAAGTCTTGGGATTTCTCTTAACAGTCATCCTAAGTATTCTTTTCACATTTTTCTTTCTTTGTTGAATCTCTCACTTCCTAGATCCCATATCTTCCTCTTTCTTGGTTTATGCCCTCATACAGAGGAGCACCTTTTTCAACATATTCCTGAGAAAGGGTATATAGGGGAGGAAAAATAATTTTCCTCTATCCTTCTGAGTCCTTGGCTGAGAGCCCTGTAATAAAAGATTAACAAGAGAAAAACAAACATGTTAATTAACATGTATACTTCAGGTATA